TTACGTACAGAAATTACACATTAACAATAATTACATTGCAGAACAGTCATATGTATCAGTTGTACAGTGAATGGAGAGGGAATAGATAAATGTAATAAAATTAACAAAAGTAACGTACAAATGACAGTATTTAAAATACAAAATATTAATTATATATAATTGCTGCCAGAGCAACTTTTACAATTAAAATATAACATGTAGTACAGCAGAATTGAACATAATTAATTGCAGTTAATATAAAACCTGTAACACCGGTATCGTACACAAAAAGAGATTTGAAAAGAAAATATTAAAAGATATGTTCAGGATATAATGTTATCGTAGTTGGTTAAACACCTATGTAACAATAAATGCTATAAATATCACAACGGTATTACAATGGTACAATAAAAATTGCAATGAAATACAGTAGATAATCACAAGTATACATTACAAACACCACTAAAGTTTTGCATGCACAATATGAAAGAGCGAGATGATAGGAGAAAGTTACTCTTATGTCACAAAAGTTTTGCATGCATCACAGATAAAGTCACAAAAGTTTTGCATGCATCACAGATAAATACAAAGTAGAACAAAATAGCAGAAGGTAGGTTTTCTCCCAACCACTATAGCAGTGTAACGCAGATAACCATAACCGCAGAAAACCAGAGCCACAGATAATATTGAGCACATGCATATTTGAAGAGCATTTCTAACATGAGCCGGTGTGTAACACAGATAACCAAGGTATCCACTGACAACTTCATGTGGAAACTTCATGTGAGAACTCCATGCTAAATATGAAGACACAGCGTGTCTAACCACAGTGAAATCCTTAAAATAAAATGAAAGTCACTTCCAGCGCTACAAAGTGGTATTGGTGGATTACGGTTGTAGCCAAAATTAAATATATGTCAAATTACGATTTGACCACAAAAGATCTTCAGATTTAACAGTGACGACATAAAGCACATTAAATACACAATCGATTACAATGCAGAAGAATAAATAAACAGAGCGGGTAAGAAAATAAAGCCATACTAAAACATAGTAATACCAATGTAAATACACAATGGAGGCAGAACTCAAGATATAGTAGTGACCTGAAAATATTTTTCAATTAATTGAAAAAGTAGGTCATGAGTTTCCTTGTCAGAAGTGAGGTCATGAATTTCACAAGGCCAAGGACGATTATTACTATTCAGGAAAGTGCGCAAGTGATGCCTTTCAATTTCAGTCATGGGGCATTCAAAAATATAGTGATAGCTGCTATCATTAATTCCACATACAGGACAAAGTTTGCTATTATGTGACGTAAAGCGACTGAGATAAGAATTGAAACGGCCATGGCCAGTGTAGAATTGTACAGTATGATGAGTAACTAAGATCCAAGTATTATGCAAAAATTTTAAAATATTGGGGAAAAATTGCTTAGTAATAGATATGTTATCATCCCAATCACGTTGCCAGTCCATAAGCATATCTTGACAAAGTATCTCTTTCAGTACCTTTGTAGAGATCTTGTTGTAACTGACGACAATATTCTGGTCAACAGCAGCTGTCTTGGCTAGATGATCTGCTCGATCGTTACCCCGAACTTCACTATGTGAGCGTATCCATTTAAAGTAATAATCGTTATCAGAATCAACTAATATACGTTGAATATAAAAGGCCAGTGGATGATCAGATAATTTTTTAATTGCGTTAAGTGAGGAAAGAGAGTCAGTTATTATCATGATTTGAGTATTGTTAATAACCCGTTCACACCAAACAACCGCCTGCAAAATAGCATAAAGTTCAGCCTGGAATATACTACAAAGAGGGCCAAGTCGGAATGATTCACAGTAAATTTCTATTTCATTGCGGTAAACAACAAAACTGGCGCCAACATTATTTTCGTACTTAGAGCCATCAGTAAATATAGTAATGGCACAACTAGCAGGAGAAGTTTCAATGTACCTGTTGTTAGTATAAGGGCTTAAAGTATGTTGAAAGGGTATATTTTCTTCCCATGATTCCTCTATAAAATGCTCAGAATGAGAGGCAGGGGAATCTCCCCTTTTTATTTTGCAAAGTTTTGAATATTTTCTGCTGTTTGAAATTTTCACTTCATTTTGGTTTTCAACCAGCTAATTCTGACAAAGTTTTGAATATTTTCTGCTGTTTGAAATTTTCACTTCATTTTGGTTTCCAACCAGCTAATTCTGATAAAGTAGTTGTGTTACTAAACGATTCACAATTGTTGTGCCATTTTTTCATACCAAATGTCCTACAAATTTTTATAATGTGCTGCTGTAAGTTAACTTTATTTTTTATTTTGAAATTTATTTTTTAATTTATTACTTGCTGTAGGCTGGAAAGATGAATTATTCTTTTTATTATTGTTAATTTTTTTATTACATGATATTTAACAAACCCTAGAAATTCTATAATGTACAGTACCAGTCCTAATCAAAGTAAACCAATCCTAATTTAAGTAAAAGAACAATTGGAAAAGTACTGTTCTAACATATAGAGATTACCTTACGCTTATTCAATTTAATTGACAAAGATTTTTTGGTGTCTCCTCCAGGCCTATATGCTAAAATATCTTGTCTACAAGTATTTTCTTAATGTATGTTTCTCTGCTTATCTCAAAGGATAAGTGGGAAAGCAAATTATATAAATGATTTTCTTATTTTACAGTATGAAATTAATAGATAATTTAAAATTTGAAAATTTTAGAACAAAGCTCCTTCAAGGAACATATCAAAAAATATTCAAAGAATAAAGACATTTGTTAAAATAATTTTTAAAATAAATTACAGAACTGGAGATAGAACTTATAAATAAAAACACCACCTTAAATTCCTCACAAATTTTAATTGCTAGAATAATTTAAGATGTTGTTTGATTGTAAATTATTTTTAATTAATGTATTAAATAAATATTGTGTATAATATTGCACTCCCAGTAAAAACTGCTGGTAAAGCTATCATCATTTTGTGATTTGGTGTATTGATGTTCTTTTATTTATTTGACAAAGCATTATTATTACCCTTTATTTTTAAATTCTGGAATTTCAAGAGTGATCAAAAGACAAATTTTTACTATTTTTAAATCTTACATTTTGATTTTCTATTACTAAATTTTCAAATTAAAAAAGGCTAAAAAAGAAAAATTAAGAATATGACAGCTTTTGTTACTAAGATTATGTTTTAAGTAACTTAGATATCAAACATATTTCAATTAAAATATAGCTAGATTAATCTTTGAAAAATATCTAAAGTAGTTTTATAGCATATTTTTACAGAGAAAATTTATTTAATATTGAAGAAGATTCTACTATTTCTCTCAATATTTTCAAAGCAATTAATTTAAAATAAAATGACACTTTTTCAGTTTTTAGGTTATTGAATTAGATGTTCTTTACATATTAACCAGCATTTAGCAGTCGTCCATTAAATTACAATTTTTTAATTGTAATTACATTTTAATTTGTACATTCATAAAGGAATGATATTTTTGAATGTGATAATTTGCATTTACTAATAATAGTATATATCAAATTAAAATACATATCTTTCCATAACGTAACAAGATAATTTAATATACTGTATATATTAATTTGTATTCTTGAAAAAATATAGCAAAGTCAGCATACTTTTAACTCCTGAAGATAGTCTCAAAAACCAAGTAAAAATGTTTTTATGGTAATTAAACTGAAAATAATTTACCACTAAATAAATTTCAGTTTAATTCACAGTTCATCCATCATTTGAGCTTTTAGAAGTGAGAATATTATTTTTGAAAATTTTATTTATATTTCGTAAATAATTTTTGCATTTTAGCAAAAATCCAGTATTAGGCCTTGGATAAAATTTAAACAGTAAAAATTTTGAATATTAAAAAATTGACAAGTAAAATTAATTTTTGTTTGTAATAATCTTAGAATAAACTTTCAAAGTAATTAGGTATGCATTTTCAAGTTTGATTAGTTTTATTTAATGTGATAAAAAAAAAATTTTTTTCAAGCTTTGCAGTGGATCACAGATTACTATTACATAAAACTATAACTAAGAATAAACAAATATCTTAAAAATATAGGATGAACTGCAGTCTCTAGCAACATCCTATATTATCCCAGTATTTTAGAACAATAAGAACATGATAGTGAAAGCAGAATATTAAAATTGTATATATTAATGGAAAAATCCATATAAAACTGTTGAATGTAAAGAAGAATTAGATAACTCTATGTAGCTAAAATAATTTTTAAACAGGCAAAGCATCAAACTTGGTAACAGAATGATAGAAAAAGAAAAAAATAATAAACATTATTTAAACTTATATGTATATGAATTATATTTAAACTATAGCATGTCTCATTGTACAAGATTTTAAGATTGAAAAGCAGAATAGTTCTGCACGAATAATATACACTAATAAAATAATTTAAAATTCTTAATGTTTTATCTTCTGATAAAATTGGAGGTAATCCTGAAAGTATTACAATTTTGTTATTGAACTGTAAAGTACAGGATAACTATCACCTTCAACTATTTTTAAATGTTAGTTTAATACTAAATTAATAAGTTGGTTATCAAGTCCACATGTGAATTAAATCCATGAAGAAAATCATACAACTTTAAACATTATTGATTTAGTGATTAATATTTTTTGAAGAAATTGCTTATATAATTTAAAGAATTTGTAGATATTTGAGTAAATTTTTTCACGAATTAAAAAGTACATCAGCGAACTGTCACAAAATAATATAAAATGGTAAAGTTTAAATTCCAACAAAAATATTTTAAAATGTAAATGTCATTATTTTTCTCCCCACTTCAAAGTTGTAGATGTATTGGAAAATAAATTCTTTAGAAGTATTTTATAGCAGCTTATTCAATTTTAATAAATATTTGAGATGAATCTTGCTATATATTTTTCATAATTAACACTCTTAATATATCTTAATAAAATTGAAAACATTAATTGAAACTGTTCCATTAATAATAGAAATGAAAAGACATTTTGCATTCTAAAAGTCATTTATTTTTATAAAATAACTACACATTTAATGTGTGTGTGTGTATATATATATATATATATTAAAATTTTTTAAAAAAAGGACAACTTTACAAATACCACATACAACTTTCAATATAATAATTTGAGACAATTGCACTGTAGATTAATTTCACAAATATAAAATTCGAACATTTTTTTTGACTTACATTTAAAATGAGATCATATAAAAGACTACAGTTTACGAGAACTTTTTAACCCCAAAAAGGGGCCGTTAGTTTTCTGATTTATTTAGAGCTGGTATATTTAGTTACGGCTTTGGTACCTTCGGAGACTGCATGTTTGGCCAACTCTCCAGGAAGCAGGAGACGAACCGCTGTCTGGATTTCTCGACTTGTGATAGTCGATCGTTTATTGTAATGAGCCAGGCGTGAAGCTTCGGCTGCAATTCTTTCGAATATATCATTGACGAAACTGTTCATTATAGACATGGCTTTACTCGAAATACCAGTATCCGGATGAACTTGTTTTAAAACTTTGTAGATATAAATACTGAAACTCTCCTTCCTCCTCTTCCTTTTCTTCTTCTTATCTCCCGCGCGAACATTTTTCTGTGCTTTTCCTGCTTTCTTCACAGCTTTGCCGCTCGGTGCTGGTGGCATCTTGGCGAAAACAACGAGATACTTTCAAATTGATTCGTACAGAAATGGATGCTGCGGATCTTCGGCACTAGTCATACAACAACGCACGGATTCAATTGAAAACACAATGAAACAATATCGATTCGTTCGAGGAAACGTCTATTATTGGATAACGTCTAACCAATGAGAATATAGACATAGAATTTTAAATAACGTCTCCTATTGGTTAACGCGTAAGCCAATGAGAGCGCGGTTTGAGAATGTACAACTACCGCTATCATTGGTAGATGATTCACCAATCAAGATAAAAAAAATATTCGGGCGATGAACTATTGTAACAGCTTTAATCAATCGGCATGTTTTTGTCGACGTGTCAATTTTACAATTATTCAAACTTAATAAAATAATAACATATACAGTATATTTATACGCTGTAAAAGAATTAAAATCGACAATTCTATTAAGATAAATACATGGAAAATAAAAAATTATTACATTAAAACAATTTTATATAATCAAATTTTATTAATTTAAGTATAACGTGCGTCAAGAGAAGAATGGAATTAAATTCAGGAAAATAATGAAAATTCTACAATAATACAGTATTTACAATATTTTTCAATAAAATGGTGTAAAGTAAACATTAAAAATATCTTGTATGAAAGAAAGTTCAAATGAAGATAATCCTGCAATAAAAAGTAAATGATTATCTAATCCTAGAATGTGACAGAAGAAAATATTTACGCAATGATACGTAAATTATTATTTTTCATTATCGAATCTATTTTCAGTATGCGAAAACATTTTATTTTTTACATTCTAAGATTAATGGTGATTTAATTTGGTAAATTCCACAATATATTTGTGAGAATTGATAACTAGCATTCTCTATCAGCTTCCCTTAATTGATAGGTTGTGCGGGTCTCTTACATTTACGCAGTATTTTTATTTGTATATTACTCATCAGCCACTATTGTCTCGTCTTTATTTACTTTTTATCCTGACGCAGTGGCTTAATGCGCTCTTTCGGCAAAATCTAATAGACAACTAAATAAATTACAATAAATACAGAAAAATGACTACAATAAGTTACAAATTACAATATATAACAAAGAAACCAGCCGAATCCAATAGATAAATACAGTTTGTCACAGGTTAGATCGTATCGATCTTACAAGTTGCCATCATTTCGTGTTGTTCATCAAAATTTAGATACACTATTTCTTATAATAGAATATTATTATTATTATGTGCGAAGATTTATTTAATCTGTCATATTCTAAAAATGAATTTAAATTAATTTACGATAAAAAAATTAGATCTTAAAAAATACTATTACACGACTTTTAAGATACGTGGATTATTCGTCATTTTTATTTATAACTCTTAAACTAAAGAAATTCCGGTGTAATTTTATTTATTTTATTTTATTTTTCTGTTAAGAGAAGATAAATCGATTCTATCGGAGGTAATCGAAATATTCGATATTTTTATAAAACAGGAAGTAAAAGGCGCCATCTGGTAATGAAAATCGGTATTACGAAGGAAGTCGTCTGTACTAAGTGCTTTTTGGATGTATAAGTGACATGTGAAATCTTTTTTCCTACGACGTGTAATATTAAATAATTTCTGTAAGTTAAACTTTAACACCTTTTTATTAAAAGTGGAAGAATAAAGAGCTGGAATTTATATAATTTAAGTTATATTTGCTAATGATTTGATATTGCTACTAACTTTTGTATATGTTATGCATATAAGTTTGTTAAATCAATATAAACTTGTTTTTTTTAATTATTATTACCGTACTGTACTAATCTTTAGTACACGGAAAACTACTAGTTTTCCATTCGTTTCTGACTTTTGGAGGCTTAATAAGTCCCGAGTCCGTAGACTGGTATAAAAAATTAAAAAAGGTAAACAGGTTAACAAAGAAAATATAATTTTATTTTTATATAAATAAGTTTTCCGTGTACTAAAGATTAGTACAGTACGGTAATAATAATTAAAAAAATAGATTATCTGACTCCATCGATTCTTTTTAGAATATTTTTATATATAAACTTGTTTTTGAATACATAGAAATACAAATACACATACATAGACACAAGTGCAGGTGCGTGCATGCACACAACAAACACAAACAAACAAACATGTACATGGGCATATTTGTACACATGCACCATGTATACTGTGTACCCACCGGTGGCCGAGCGGTTCTGTTTCCCGAACGCCAGGAGTTCGGTGTGGGTTTGTGCCTAGCCGGGACGGGCTGGCCACGGGGAGTTTTCTGGGTTTTCTCCACGTCTGTAATGCCCGATAGGGGCCAGTTACTTTTAAAAAAAGACCTCCCGGAAGGTGTTCCCCTAGGCAGTCTGTTTGAAAACTATACTTTTTAAAATCAAAATATATTAACAGAATGTTTAGTTATTAACTAAAACAATTTTTCAGTTTTAATCTGCTTTCAGACTTAGGAAATACTATGTTGACTTTCAGAACAACTCTTTATTAAACACAACTTAGAAATTTCTTAAAAAGATTGAGGTATAATATAAGATTCTTTTGTCTTTTCTCAAAATGTATTTCAAACTATAAGTCCCTCGTCAATTGCTCTTATGTATGTTTATTACCATTGGTAATTTTTAGTTATGATGGTAATCAACATTATGGGCAAGGTTTTATTTGTTGTTTATTACAATTGAAGCTGATCCATCAATTGGGTCAGCTTCAATAAATTTAATAATTAGAACTAAATAAATTAACTATCTTGGAAGGTGGATTAAAGTCCTGCTCTAAATCAATAACTGCTGATTACTATACATATGTGTTAATATTATTATTTGATTGTTAGTATAATTTGGGTTTTGTTTTCCGTATACAGTACAATATTGTTAATCTGACATATATGGAGCCAGAACAATATCAGATTAAGATTACTGCATTATTGGAAGTAAGATGAATTCAGTATCACATAAATGAATTTGACAACATAGTCAATTGTTAATGATGCAACAAACATAACTTAGACTATTGATTAAAACACTTGATCAGGCTGCCATCATCTGTAATCAATATTTAGATTGATAGACTGTTGATAGATTTACCAAGTTTGAAGTGGAAAATCCAGTTCCTGCTAAGTTTTAGTAGGAAATTGAACCTAAGATGAAAAGTCTAGTAATCTAATATACTGCATAAGCTTGAATGTTCAAATTCAGAGTCGATATCATGCAACATTTAGGGGAAGGTATTCAAATTTAGTGCAAACTGGAGTTTGAAGTAGTGGGGAGTTTGTACATGTCAATGTCAACAATATCCAAGAGTCAACTGGTATCAGATTACTGGACTAGTGAATGACCAGATTATCAAGATTCTAATGTATGTATCATTTATTATATTTGTATAATATAATACAAGATTAATAATATTTAAAAAAAACAGAACTTTATAAAATGCATGACATAGCTAACATTACCAATAAATTTAACATAAGGTATATTAACATTAAGCTTGCTTATATAGCAAACTAATACAGTTGTGAAAAATCAAACTACTACACTCTACATAAATTTGATTTTATGTTAATTTTTGTTGGCTGGTGCACACTTAGAAAAAATCTTAAAAAATGCTGTTGTAGTTTCACACTTCCCAAGGCATTGATCAGCACTCTGTTAATAACATTATGCTACTTTTCTTTTTAATTATAAAGTGTTTGTTTGTACTGGCACATGTCTTAATTGTTTTATTTTGAACCTTAATCTTAATTTTTTGATTTTGAAGTACACTTTAATAAGTTTTTTCAGTTTATTAGATAAAAGTATTGAATATGTGGTCATCAAACATTTCTTTTCTGCCTTAGTCAAATTCAGTGCATGTAATTGTTAGTGCCACATAAGTACTTAATGAAATTCTGATTTTGATAAAATTTGACTTTTATCTAATTCTATGGAATATAATTCTTATGTAAATAAGAGATTGACTATATAATGCAAATTTAATTAGTAATATAGAATAATATTTAAATAATTAAATTATTACTTTATTTAAATATAGATTTGGAAAAAAATAAATGAGAACTCATAATGAGTAAAGAAGAACGACTTTATGAAGATGATAAAAACATTAGAGGTATGAATTTTTTAAAAATAAAATTTTGTTTTGAAATTAATTACAAATATTTATTTCCTTAATTCTAAAATGTATATTTTTGACATAAATGCCAACCTGATTCTACAGGATGTTTCACAATGTTTTGATGATTTCAAAGTTGAATAATTCACAAACTAATCACTAAATAAAGTTGAAAAGTTTACACGAGGTACAAAATTTATTCAATTTTACCTATGAAATACTACATCAGACAAATGACGACCATTCGTGGCTACATAAGACTCGAGGCGTTTCACCCAGCTTTTGAATACATTTTTTGTAACTGCTGGAGGAATTCTGGAAATTTCATCAAATTCGATCTCTTAATTGTTCTAAGCTTCTTGGTCGGTTGGAGTATACACTCACCTTCAAATAACTCCATAGGTAAAAGTCTGGAGGGGTTAAATCAGGTGAGTGAGGTGGCCATTTGAAACGAGTGCGTTTGGAAATTATGCGGTTGCCAAAAGCTTCACGGAGAATTTCAAAGGTCTTCTTGGCTGTGTGGCATGTTGCACCGTCTTGTTGGAACCAAGTTGACCGGAGACGTCTACAATGGCAAAGGGTAGGGATTAGGAATGTATTCAACATCTCTGTATGCCGGGCATTGTTTACAGTTCCTTCGAAAAAATATGGGTCGACGATGCCCCACAATGCCACATCTGCCCATATGGTTACTCGCTCGTCATGTAACGGCTTCTCTTCGATGGCCTTGGGATTATCACGTGTAGGAGCCCAGTAGTGATAATTTTGTTTATTCACTGCATTAGTTAAATGGAAGTGTGTCTCGTCAGTCATCAAAATTTTATCAGGATCAATTTCTTTATTCTCGATTTTATCAAGCATATTCTCAGGGAATCTTTTTCTTTTTGGATAATCTCTGGGGTCTAACTTTTGTGTAATTTGTAAGGATGATAACGCAGATCATACCATAATATGCGACAAGTGGATGCCGGCGAAATTTTCAGCGCTTGGGCACGTTTTCTTAAGGAATGATGAGGGCTTTTCTGTAAACTGCTATGCACATGTTTAATGTTCTCGGGAGTTTGTACGGTCTTCCTATGACAGGTTGATTTTCGATTTGATGCACTGGCAGTTTCACTGAAGTTTTTTACCCAATTCAATATTGTTCCACGAGCAGGAATTGGATATTGTGGCTGAATCTTAAAATGTTTACGAAATTCACATTGCATGTGCATGACAGATTCGCCGATGCGAAAATAGCACTCTACCGTGAACACATGATGTTGCTTCGACCAGTACGCCGTGATATTATGTAGTAACCTATATGAGATAGAAGTTGACAGTCTGCACTAAATAGAGGATGCCATCATTGCTATATCTGTTTTAATGCAAGTTATTCAACTTTGAAATCATCAAAACATTGTGAAACACCCTGTATTAGATAGGATGACCAGATTTTTTTTGGCAAATCTGGGGACGTATGTTAATCATCACTTTTTAGGATACATAGTAGCAGCTTACGTGTATAAGTACTGTCAAATGGGTTCTATACACATACATGACAGATCTAAACATTTTAATTTTGATTCAGCTCATTTGCTTCAATCATACAGCTCTTCTCCAATTAGGTTTATAGCTAAAACTTTTGGCACATTTTACCTATATTTTTTTATTTGGCTGCAATTTGAAAAAATTGTTATATCTAATTTCCCACTGTTGTCCAGCTGTCTGTCCTTCCTTAATCTTGAAAACAGAGTTAGATAGATGAAAGTTGAGACTAGATATGAAAAACTTATGGACAGAAGGGTCCGATTAACTATATATGAACTTCCTCTTTGGACTAGAAGTCATTATTTCAGTTCAAAATTTTCTCTCTTAACCTTTCAACAGTGGGATAGTCAGGTATGGTGCTATCCCAAAGTAATGGAGAATAAATGTGGGAAATTTTTAAAGTATTTTTCCATGCATTTTTTCTCATTACCGTTTCGGAAAAAGATTTTGTAAACAGTTATGTCTAGTAAAGAAAAGTCTTTTTTTATTGTTACATAATCCATTTTTTATATGAATTTTTTTTTGCAGTAGTTTTTGGTGATATCCCAAAAAGAATTTAATGGCTATATCCATCCCTCACCACTGCCACACGATTGCCCTGGACTGATATATCCGTCCCTCACTGTCGAGTGGTTAAAAAGAGTTAGATACCTGACTGACATGACTATTGCTAACAGGAAAAGTATGAAAGACACTACTAAAAAATTGAGAACACTATGACGAAATATTTCAGCCCCACATTGTGACAATGTCCCAATAAGTAATTGCTTGTTTTTGTTTTAAAATTTTACTCCTTTTTGGCTTTTCCTCAAAAATTTGGTTACTTCATAAAAAAGAATTACCTGCAATGCCGAAGACATTGGACATGTCCTCTGGCAGAAAAACTGTGACAGAAACAATATTACAGTAACCATAAGGAAGCAAAAAACAGGAGAAACAGGGTCAAGAGTTCATTTTGGGGGACAAAACCTGGGACACTTTCTTGCTGGAGACAGAAGGTCAAAAATGGGGGTTGTGGAAATCGGGGATGGATGGTCACCCTATATTAGATATGCTGAATGAATTGCTAGATTATTTATCAATGTGTAACAAGGCTAATTTTAACAATTAAATGGTGACCTAAGTGTCTACCTATAGATAAATTACTTTATTTCTAATCATTAAAATTACCCTTGTTACATCTTGATAAATAATCTGGCAGTTTGGTGTACATATTTTTCATATTTAACATAAATTTATATACAGAATTTCAGCTTTTATTTTGACTGAAATATTAAAATAAATAAACAAATATATTTATCTACAATCTTCAGTATTATTTTTATGCTCTTTGGACACATTGTTGTATTTATTTAATGTCAAAAGAAATATGTCAGATTGATACCTGCAGAAAGATAAGTTGTAATGTGGTAGTTATTATTTACACACAAACTGACTTTCTTGTATGTGTTTATTTATATAGATTAATAACACTACAGATGTTGAATTCAACTAACATTTTGACTCTATTTACCAGTTAAATGTTTTTAAAAAGATTAAATTATGATGCAACACTAAAGAAAAATATATTATTTATTCAAAAGAGCATGGAAATAGGGCTTCAGGTTATAAATAAATATATGCTTTCATTTATTTAGTGTTTCAATTAAAATAAAAATTACAAATGATTCTGTGTTGGATAAATTTATAGATTTGTGCTTTTATGGATTAAATAAATTCATTATTTTCAATTTTGTATTTATCTTACAGTCAAAGCGATCTTAGTATCAAAGAAATAATGCATATTAAGCATTGAAAATTCTAAAGAATAAAAGCATTAAAGACTAAAATAATAATTAATATTATTTAATATACATAAAGAAATATTAATGAATTAAAACATTAAAACTATGTTAATCATTAAAAATTAGGCAGATACTGTATGTCCAGAATAAATAAAATTTAATATGAAAAATATTCTCTTTTATAATTTTATATTAATGATGACATATTTGTTTATAAATTTGAAATATATTAGTTTCAAATTGTTTTAGATTATGCATTAAAACAAGTTTTAATGCAAAATTACATTCTGTAAATTTTTATTTCAGTAAGTTATGATTCCAAACTTGTTCTGTGAAGCCATTTTCTTTTCACAGGATGTTTGATATTACACATAGAAATTAACAATATATCAATAGATAATTTATAAATAAAATTGATTGCCATTAGATTTCTAATATTCATATTTTGTGACTGATGATGAATGTGCAAGTTCGCTGACCTGGTGGAGATTGGAGACTTAAAATCCCACTCCTCGGACACCAGTGTATGTTGTCCGATTTCCAGGGGGAATTGTTAATCCCGCATCAGGATGATCTAGGGTTGTTCGTGTGTGGGTGTGGCGGAGGAGACACGGATGACAAGAATCTCACAAAAACCCGTTTATTTTAAACATAAAAGTAAACTTACACTAAGGAACAAAAATGTTCTTTATACAATTTGAGGTACGAATTGTTGATGGTGTTTCTAATGTTGCTCGAAGGAAGGCCCCGGGGCAATGGCAGGTGTGGAGATTCGTCAGTCGGTGTCGGTGGTCTGAGTCTGTAGTCACAGGTTACAAGTTGGGCACAACTGACAGAAAACTGCTTTTTCGCATTGACTAACCATGTGCAGGTGCACAGTTTTCAGAAAGTGAATCTGTCCTTGAAGATCGGGGATTATATCAATCTCCATTGTTTGTTTTGCTTTCTTCTGATTGGCTCCACACCCCTTTTTTCTCGCTCCCCGATTGGTCTCTCGTCTGTCTCTAAGAGAAAGATGATTCTTGTTCGAGTCACCAGAAAGATCCGCTTCAAAGAATCTACTTAACATCATCCGTTACTCTGGATGCAAAATGTTGATGGAACTTTGAAACTTGCACTCATATTTTCCACCATTGTTGTCTAGTCTGTGACGTTTTTGAAATTTAACGACATGACACGATGTCCCTTTTCAAAATTTCTATGTTCTAATTATTTGTATATGAACGACTTGTCAAAGGTCCATCTCTACCAGAGGTCATTCGTTTACAATTATTAATCATTTATAATTATTGCGTTCTGTTTACATCAATAGAGTTTTTTTTCTCTCATTGCGATTTCATATGATTAGAACAACTAATTCGATCTTTGATTGGTTTTTAACAATAGACAATTTTTTTCCTAGTTTCGTTTTAATAAATTTCTAATAATAAATGTTTAATTTCAACTCATTTTTGGGACCTCACAAATGTAACCAGTAATGACCAGTTTTTTCATCATATGTTTTTCAAATATTCTTTTTTTTAAATTACCAATATTTAATTTTACTCTCATTTACAAGAAGTTTTAAAAATTGAATATGCTTATTTGATTATATTTACTTAATTAAATAGAATTAAATAGGTAATAATCTATCTATCTATATTTGGTTTATGGCATCTGACATCTCCAGGAACCCTCTCCATCTCTCTCTATCCATACACCATTCCTCTTTAATCCCTTTTTCACTACATGCTAACTTTACTCTGTCATATCAAGTTTGTCTGGGTCTTCCTCTCTTCCTTTTTTGCGAATTGTATTCCATTGACATTTTCGGGAGTCTCTCGTCACTCATTCTTTTCACACGTCCAAACCAAATAAGTTGTTTCCCCTTTATTTCTTCCAAAATCATCTCCTTCAATCCCATTAGGTCTTTGATCCTCTGATTAGTTATTCTTTCTCTTTTTGAGATTCTGCACAATCTTCTCAATGCATCTATTTCAACTGTTGTTACTTTTCTCTTCTCTTCCCCAGTCATTCTCCATGCCTTTGCCCCATAAAACAGAATGCTTTTAATCATAGCATTATATATATTTTTGTTTCTTGATCTAGTTATTTCTTCACTCCACCATATTCCATTTAATCTTTTAACTGCTCCCTTACCTTGTGCTAATCTGTATTAATTTCTAATGTATCTCTTCCATCTTGATGAATTTGTATTCCAAGATAATTGTAATGTTCACATCCTTCAATCTTTTTTTCTTCTTCCAGTTCCATGTCTGTTTTAGCCTCTCCTATGCTTAAATATTTTGTTTTACTCATGTTTATGCATAAACCTCCTTTAAAATATTCCTCTTTTATTTTTCTTGTCATGTATTCTAGATCATTAACCTCTGCCATTATCACCTCATCATTTGCAAATTGCAATATAAACATTTGCTTACTGTTAATATGTATTTCCATATTACATTTCCTTTTCCATATTTACAATACTCCTTCTATGTAGATTTTAAATAAAGTTAGTGAGATACGACATCCCTGTCTTAGTCCTTTTGATACCATAAATCCTTCTGATATTTTTTTCCAATTTTTATTTTTGCTATGGATCCTCTATATAACTTTTTAACTGCTTTAATAAGCATGTTATTAATATTTATCTCTTTTAATGTCTCCCATAATTTTGATGTTGGAACATTTAAGTAATAATTATAAGTTTAATAAAGTAAGACAAATATTTAAAATAATTATAATTATAAAATAATTATTTTAAATATTTGTCGTACTAAACAATGAAGTAAAATTTATTTTTTGAATAATAATTTAGAGATAGCTTTATAATCATAATATACATATTATTAAACTGTGAATATTAAATTAAGTCATCATCAACATAGTTTTACAGGTATGTGCTGCTTATAGATTTTCTGCTTAAAGATGGATTTACATATATGACAGATATCTCATAAGATTATAATGAGCTAAAAAATTCTTAGCTACCTACACCTTATTTATGTTTGGATTTATAAATACTTATCATTGTGTTACAGTTGTGTTACAAATAGCCTATTATTAGTAGACTATACTATATAAGGTTTGTCTAAGTATTAATACATTCTATGATGTAACCGAATCAAAACTAGAAACAAATTTAATGAGCAACACAACCATGAAATTCCAGCAGAATTCAATTTAACAAAACTAATGTTTTGTTAAATTGAATTCTGCATTTTGCATCTTCACTTATATGCTTTATAATAAATTAATAGAAAATAATTCAAAATATGGAACATTTTTTTGCTTTGAATTTTGTTCTATTCATTTATTCTAAAACAGGGGTGTCCAACGTTTTTGTTCCTCTGGGCCACATTGGAAGAAGTCATGGAGTTTTGGGCCACAAGTATATATAGTATATTTGTGACCCAATCCTTAAATATACAAGTATATTTAAAGATTAACATATCTAGATTATAGTAATAAGTATTAAAACTTTATCACAAAAAAGGATATTTTAAAAAATTACTTCTACAGACACTTTCAGTTTTTACTTGTAAATAGATAAATTCATTTATTATAAAGGAGACAAACAAAAATTTATTTGAAAAACACAAATATTTGTTTTATCTGGGTCTCTAATTAATAAAAAACAAAAAAATGACAAAACACCATTTTAAAGTGCATTTTTATTTGACTAATATATTTTTGAATAATATGTAACCCAGAAAGTAGCCAATGCACCAAGTTATAATTTTTATGCCAAACTAAAAAAGGGTAGCCAAATTTGGAGGAAATTAGCCAAACTTGCAATGCTGGAAAGAATACTAAATAATACTGGAGTTGGAACTCAAAGGATTATAGACCCAAATTTGAGAAAAGGAGAGAAAGGCCAAAAGATAAAAAGTGGTGAGGAAGGTTGGAAAATTAAGGGTCAATATTTGCATAACAGAAAGTCTATTTAACCTTTCTCACTACTTTTTATCTTTTGGCTTTTTGCTCCTTTTCTCAAATTTTGGTCTATAATCCTTTGAGTCACAACTTCAGCTTTATTTAGTATTCTTTCATCATTCACACATCTCCAAGTATTTGAAAATATTTCCTTTTCACTCAAAAATAAAATATGTATAAAAGTTTGCAGCTTTGTGAAACTTATTTTTTGAGTTTATGCCGTCGAAATAAATAAATAAAAAAAATTAGACAATTTGTCGGTTTTGTTTACACGTTTATTGGGCCGCATTGGAACTTGCCTTGGGCCGTATGTTGGACACCCCTCTTCTAAAGGGTGTATCCGAGGATGACCTTTAAAACATGACTGAAAAGTTAGTTTTGTTAAATTGAATATTACTGGAATTTCATGGTTATGTTGCTAATACATTCTATAATGCTTGCTTAATGATTTATTTCTCAGAATTTATTATTGTTGTTAAGCTGTGCATACCTGTATTATAAAATTAACTAAATGCATTTTAAATTATTATTTTTCATAATAATGTTTGAATATTATTGTGAAAACTAAACTAACATATTAATTAGTAGAATTTATCACTGAAATAATAATCTGTTAATAAGAAATTAAATATTTTTCATATCAAATCATAGTACTATTTGTCTAATATGGTTTAAAGTAAATAATCTAATTGTAATTTTAAAGTTTAAAAACTTTATTTATTATGTAATGACTAATTATATTGTATAAATATTGATTATTTTTTGATAATTTTAAATTATTAAAATAAATTACAATAATATATAAACTGTCAATTTAATAGATGCTTCATCCATATATGCAATATGGGTATTTTTTTTCGTCTTTGTAATAATTGGAGTTCCTCTTTGGTGGAAAACAACTGAAGTATATAGAGTTACTTTACCTTACAGTGAAATTGAAAAATTACCATTTTTAGAGGTAAATCATTATGAAATAATTTTTTCCAATATCAATTTACACTTTAAATTAATTTTTAACACAACTGTTTAAAAATAATAATAAGTCATAAGAAATAGATTGAAGTCCATATTTTTCTCAATAAATTTTAATTGTATTACTTTATTGTCAAATTTGTAGGTTGATTAATAAATTTTAAAATGTTTAAGTTTCTTTTTTATAACTATTGATTCTATCATTTATGCACTATATTTTGAAGGATTGCTATACAACTGAAGGAGTCAAATGTTTTACCTTCAATTAAATGTTTTTGTGCATAGTAAAAAATGGTGTTTATCTACAATTAGAATTGAAGAGAAATAGGCTGATTTTATCAGAAGTAATTTGGTCTAAGCTCTCTATGTCATTAAAACATACAGAGCTTAAGTGAGTTGAGACCCAACAGTGGTTTACTTATGGTCCTAGATTACAAGTCTACCCTTTGTTCAGATTAGAGGTAGTATACTGTCTGAGTACATGGATGCTCTAAGAAGTTCTTAAGGAGAATTGGAACAAGATTAATTAATTAAATAATCAAACTTGGTTAGTTTGAAGTTAAAGGAACCAACAACAGATTTGAATTAAATAAGTTTTAGGTAGTAAAAAAGTTCAAAAATCATTTTTGGTACAAATATTCAATAAAACAATTTATTCAAAGACTTCTTACGGTATGTACAATGTAGCCCATTTTCAAATTTTAAAAAAAAGTTGAAATTTTTAATTTGTTGGGTGTTTATTCTTTGAGCAGTTATATACTGTTCTCTCCAAATTTGAACATTAATCTGTTGTAATTTGTATTAATTAAGATTAGCAATTTTTTGTATGACATCATTATTTAGTTGTTTTATTAATTTGTTAAATTAGATGATGTTTTAATTTGAGATTTAGCTGTTTGATAATTTTTATTTTTAACAACATTTCTAAGTTAAATGAGATCTATATTTGAATCTGTTACCAGTTCTTGGGATGTATTTATTTGTTTTATGTTTGAAACTGTTTAAGTGTTTGACTTGGTAATGATATCTTAAAAAAGTTTAATCAAAAATTCAACTTCTTAAGTTGTGTAGCAATTCTTAAAAATGTTTAAAAAGTCACACAGAATCATGAGCCATAATTTTTATTTAACAGAAACATTTTCAAACTATTTCAGTTGTTCATCAACTGGTTTTAGAATAACAGTTTCTACATCAAATAAATTAAACTTTAATTTGAATTTTAATTTATTCGATTTTATTACTTTATTCTGTTATTCCAAGACCAAGTGACAAATGAATCTGGATGGTTTATCTGTCATATATGGAGTTTTGTATTTGAGTCTGTTTATTATGATTTGATGATTAAGGAATGATTTTTTTTTCTTTAAATGAAAAATAATAGAAAGTTGATTTCATGATAAGTATTTTTAAAATAAAAACTGTAAAATTAAATTTTAACGAGCATTTCTTATATTCAGGTTGTCCATTCTGTTCCAGTAACATTAATTATTGCTGACAAATCAATAGCTCAAATAAGATTAAAACAAAGTTTAATAGAGGCTAATTCTGATAGTGGAAACCAATTAAAAGTTAAATATCATTTAACTCTGAGAGATATATCAAAAGAAGAAGAAAATATTTTAAATGAATGCCAGTCCATTTCAGGTAGGTTTTCATCTTTAATAATTAAAAATATTTTATTATTAGATTATTAAACATTGTAATTTGAATATAAAGTAAGTTTAAATATTAAATTTTATATTTATTCTGTGATACTGTGGCTGGCCATATACAGTGGTACCTCAGGATACGAACGCCCCAGCATATGAAATTTTCGGATATGACGACATGAAATTTGAACATATTTTTGCTCCACGATAAGAACAAAAGCTCACCATACGACGTTACATTAGTTCGCAGCACCATTTTTTTATTCACTTCTATTCATAGGTCTCAGTCCGTGTGTTTACTTCGTCGTGGAAGGATCTTGCTCGATAAAGGAAATCTTGAGGTATTATCAGGAAGTGACTAATTTTATTGAAAAGAAACATCCCAAAAAGGTTCACACTGGCAGTATTGCTGCTCAGAATAATGACATTTACCTAAATCATTTTAGAAACATTTTAAAAAGTAGGCAAAGCCAAACCTCTTTGGATAGATATTCTAACAAGTGACCTTTATCCAGTGAAAGTGCTGGTGGAAGTGAAGGAAAAAAGCAAAACGCAGTGAATAAAAATTAAAAATATATATAAAACAACACTAATTTTTTAAAATCTTTTCTAAGTTATTTTTAAGTTATTGTTACGTTATGTTATGTAAGTTAAGTTTTAGTATCATTTCCCTTCTCCCTCTCTTCCGCCACCAGTTTACACCTCCATCGTCGTCTATCCTCAAATGTAAAGTGCAAATAAAACTACATTTTTTTTAATCAATTATTATTCTATTATGGTTATTTATACATTTATAACTACAAAATACATTTTTCAGTGTATCCTTACTATAGTTATTTTTTTTTTAAATGTACTACTTAGCTTTAATTTGAGTGTGTTTTTCGTGTTGGAACAAATTACTTGGTTTTACATGTAATTGTATGGGAAAGAATGATTCGCCTTACGACATTTTCATGATACAATCTCAGTTTTGGAACGGATTAATTTCATATCCTGAGGTACCACTGTAGTTTTGTGTTCTTCTTGATATCAGGCAAATTTGGTCTGGAACATTTTGTTTTGTAGGATGCATATTTTTTGAAATATTTCCTGATAACATTATAAATGGACTGTATATAAATACATTATTCTACTAATTTTAAAACTAGTATCTATATATGATTTTTTAAGAATTTAGCAAAAATGTATATCAGAATGGAATGGAACCTAGTATTGGAAGTTTACAGATATTTATTTTATCTGAGAAATCACATCTTGGAATTTTTGAAACATTAGTAGATGTTCATCGCACCAGTTTTTGTGTTAATAAATATGCAGGTTTGTTGCTTTTACTTCATATATATAAATATTTATCTGGAAATAATTGAATTTAAGATAAATATCAGTGGTAATGTTAATAATAAGTTAATGTTTTGTTCAGTGATAAATTTAAATTAGTAATAAATAAGACTGTTAAAAAATTTTATTGCTATTGATTGCTGATTATTGCCAAATGATTGCTGGATTATATTGGGTTATATTATTAATAATTAAAGGTTCAGCAATTGTTTGGTTTTAATCAAAAAATTGGGTTTTTAGATGTTTATATTTGTATAATTTTTGTCACAATTAATCTTAAGTTAATCACATTTTTAATCCTAAATATTTATAAATTAGAGATAACCCTGATAAACATTGAAAATTAAACATTAAAAACTACTAAAAATAACAATTAGAAGAAAATTAAATTTTAAATATTTCATGATTTAAACTTCTTAATAAAACCGCTGTTTTTTCTCTTTTAGTCATTGAGACAAATAAATTGGTTCAAATTGGTAGTATTGAGTAAACTATGCTTTTTATCAAGTATGAGTCCAATAAATAAAACTCTCTTGGCATAGTAATTATAGATAATGCCTGATATTTCAATACAAATTGCTCAATATAAACATGCAATGCATAACATATCTTCTACTGTTTTAGTAGTAAACAAGACATCTACACAAGTTCATATTTATAGTGTTCAATTACAATAAGCACATAGATAGAAAATCATATTGTAGGCAGAAACAAAAAGCTTTACCTTAGCCAATATCAATTAGTTTATTAGAAAATAATCAAAATTTTAATTAATAGATTGTTTGAATTAGTATTTTATAATGCCTACCACTTTTATTAATAATTTTTATGAATTCTTGCATTTATATAGGAATTTTTCAATAATATAAGTTATAAAAATTCACACAACTAACTGCTAGAAATGGCACACTTAATGTGCTATAATTCAATCTTCCAGTTCAATGGCGATACCTACACGCAAGATAGAAGGGTCCCCATGGAAGCCCTGTTTCAGGGGACCTGTGTGAAATGGTGGTGCAACAGTTGGAGAACAAGGTCTTCCCCACTTCCTCCCCAACATCCTGTTATATAGAAGATATATTGACGATATTATTTTTTGGAAGATGGTACCAGAGCTAATGGCTTTTGTTGATTCTTTTAACAATAATCCCTATGGGTTGACCCTGGAAATAGAACAATCCAACTCTACCAAAGTGCACTTCCTAGATATAAATATTAGAGTGGAAGGCTCAGACATCCACACGTCGGTGTATCATAAGCCAGAGTCTATGTCGGCATACATACCAGTAGGATCGTATGATCTGGTTTTGTACAAGATTGTGACCTATAAAGCCTTAATCAATAGAGCCTTTACACATTCTTCCAATACCCAGGCTTGTGATATTGAACTAGCATCTATAGAATGCATAGCTAGAGCACACAGTTACCACAAAGTTGCATGTAGGCTGATACAACATTATCATTGAATACATTCAGTACACATACAGGGGGTGGACCAGCCGATCAATAACCAACCCAGTGACATAGAACGGATCCCCATCACCTTTAATTCGTACCTAAGATCCTTATATGCCAAAGTTGTCAAATGTCGGGTATGTATCACTTTCATGAGGTTTCCAACTATTTTTAACGTCCTACATAATGGGAAGGACCCTCCTAACCCCAGCAGATACCCCAGAGTGTATAGTGTCTCTTTAAGGGATAATAGATGCGATAGAGACCTGATATATATAGGTTCTAGTAAATGTTCCGTGGGTATCAGAATACAAGAACATCAGGTGGATATTCATCATGCGAGAACCTCCATGTCCTTCACTACTTATGTAACAGATCCTGACATAGTAGCTGACTTTTCCCAGGCCAATCTCCTCCTCGCTGCACCTCCCACTGAACACCTGAAATGGTTAGAGGCTACGCACATTTTTAAATCTAGTATTGCAGTTATGTGCATAAATTTTAAAGAGGAGATGGTTTTGTCATTGGCCTGCAGGAATTGATTCACAACTTACTCTAGCTACTTGTTGTGTCCAGGCAGGCCATGTTGCGCATGTGCGACACGGTTTTTTGTAAATTTTTTTGAACTTATAATCGATAATCAAACTCTTATTTAAATATCATTCCATAATTGAATATCCATCTAGGAATGATGCAGAACCCAGAATGGGTTCGAAAATGTTCGTTTTTCAATGTTTTTTGTATCACACCGTAATTTGGCTCCGAGTGCATCATTCTTATTAAAATTCTTCTTTTATCTTAGAATTGAACTTTCTTATACTAAAGAGCAACATTTAACTCATATGATTTTCTTCTGTAACTGATTTTTGTTTATTAATTTATAAATATATAGGTTATGGATCCTTACTATAGTTATTTTTTTTTTAAATGTACTACTTAGCTTTAATTTGAGTGTGTTTTTCGTGTTGGAACAAATTACTTGGTTTTACATGTAATTGTATGGGAAAGAATGATTCGCCTTACGACATTTTCATGATACGATCTCAGTTTTGGAACGGATTAATTTCATATCCTGAGGTACCACTGTACTTTTGTNAAATAGCACTCTACCGTGAACACATGATGTTGCTTCGACCAGTACGCCGTGATATTATGTAGTAACCTATATGAGATAGAAGTTGACAGTCTGCACTAAATAGAGGATGCCATCATTGCTATATCTGTTTTAATGCAAGTTATTCAACTTTGAAATCATCAAAACATTGTGAAACACCCTGTATTAGATAGGATGACCAGATTTTTTTTGGCAAATCTGGGGACGTATGTTAATCATCACTTTTTAGGATACATAGTAGCAGCTTACGTGTATAAGTACTGTCAAATGGGTTCTATACACATACATGACAGATCTAAACATTTTAATTTTGATTCAGCTCATTTGCTTCAATCATACAGCTCTTCTCCAATTAGGTTTATAGCTAAAACTTTTGGCACATTTTACCTATATTTTTTTATTTGGCTGCAATTTGAAAAAATTGTTATATCTAATTTCCCACTGTTGTCCAGCTGTCTGTCCTTCCTTAATCTTGAAAACAGAGTTAGATAGATGAAAGTTGAGACTAGATATGAAAAACTTATGGACAGAAGGGTCCGATTAACTATATATGAACTTCCTCTTTGGACTAGAAGTCATTATTTCAGTTCAAAATTTTCTCTCTTAACCTTTCAACAGTGGGATAGTCAGGTATGGTGCTATCCCAAAGTAATGGAGAATAAATGTGGGAAATTTTTAAAGTATTTTTCCATGCATTTTTTCTCATTACCGTTTCGGAAAAAGATTTTGTAAACAGTTATGTCTAGTAAAGAAAAGTCTTTTTTTATTGTTACATAATCCATTTTTTATATGAATTTTTTTTTGCAGTAGTTTTTGGTGATATCCCAAAAAGAATTTAATGGCTATATCCATCCCTCACCACTGCCACACGATTGCCCTGGACTGATATATCCGTCCCTCACTGTCGAGTGGTTAAAAAGAGTTAGATACCTGACTGACATGACTATTGCTAACAGGAAAAGTATGAAAGACACTACTAAAAAATTGAGAACACTATGACGAAATATTTCAGCCCCACATTGTGACAATGTCCCAATAAGTAATTGCTTGTTTTTGTTTTAAAATTTTACTCCTTTTTGGCTTTTCCTCAAAAATTTGGTTACTTCATAAAAAAGAATTACCTGCAATGCCGAAGACATTGGACATGTCCTCTGGCAGAAAAACTGTGACAGAAACAATATTACAGTAACCATAAGGAAGCAAAAAACAGGAGAAACAGGGTCAAGAGTTCATTTTGGGGGACAAAACCTGGGACACTTTCTTGCTGGAGACAGAAGGTCAAAAATGGGGGTTGTGGAAATCGGGGATGGATGGTCACCCTATATTAGATATGCTGAATGAATTGCTAGATTATTTATCAATGTGTAACAAGGCTAATTTTAACAATTAAATGGTGACCTAAGTGTCTACCTATAGATAAATTACTTTATTTCTAATCATTAAAATTACCCTTGTTACATCTTGATAAATAATCTGGCAGTTTGGTGTACATATTTTTCATATTTAACATAAATTTATATACAGAATTTCAGCTTTTATTTTGACTGAAATATTAAAATAAATAAACAAATATATTTATCTACAATCTTCAGTATTATTTTTATGCTCTTTGGACACATTGTTGTATTTATTTAATGTCAAAAGAAATTTGTCAGATTGATACCTGCAGAAAGATAAGTTGTAATGTGGTAGTTATTATTTACACACAAACTGACTTTCTTGTATGTGTTTATTTATATAGATTAATAACACTACAGATGTTGAATTCAACTAACATTTTGACTCTATTTACCAGTTAAATGTTTTTAAAAAGATTAAATTATGATGCAACACTAAAGAAAAATATATTATTTATTCAAAAGAGCATGGAAATAGGGCTTCAGGTTATAAATAAATATATGCTTTCATTTATTTAGTGTTTCAATTAAAATAAAAATTACAAATGATTCTGTGTTGGATAAATTTATAGATTTGTGCTTTTATGGATTAAATAAATTCATTATTTTCAATTTTGTATTTATCTTACAGTCAAAGCGATCTTAGTATCAAAGAAATAATGCATATTAAGCATTGAAAATTCTAAAGAATAAAAGCATTAAAGACTAAAATAATAATTAATATTATTTAATATACATAAAGAAATATTAATGAATTAAAACATTAAAACTATGTTAATCATTAAAAATTAGGCAGATACTGTATGTCCAGAATAAATAAAATTTAATATGAAAAATATTCTCTTTTATAATTTTATATTAATGATGACATATTTGTTTATAAATTTGAAATATATTAGTTTCAAATTGTTTTAGATTATGCATTAAAACAAGTTTTAATGCAAAATTACATTCTGTAAATTTTTATTTCAGTAAGTTATGATTCCAAACTTGTTCTGTGAAGCCATTTTCTTTTCACAGGATGTTTGATATTACACATAGAAATTAACAATATATCAATAGATAATTTATAAATAAAATTGATTGCCATTAGATTTCTAATATTCATATTTTGTGACTGATGATGAATGTGCAAGTTCGCTGACCTGGTGGAGATTGGAGACTTAAAATCCCACTCCTCGGACACCAGTGTATGTTGTCCGATTTCCAGGGGGAATTGTTAATCCCGCATCAGGATGATCTAGGGTTGTTCGTGTGTGGGTGTGGCGGAGGAGACACGGATGACAAGAATCTCACAAAAACCCGTTTATTTTAAACATAAAAGTAAACTTACACTAAGGAACAAAAATGTTCTTTATACAATTGGAGGTACGAATTGTCAAAGGTGTTTCTAATGTTGCTCGAAGGAAGGCCCCGGGGCAATGGCAGGTGTGGAGATTCGTCAGTCGGTGTCGGTGGTCTGAGTCTGTAGTCACAGGTTACAAGTTGGGCACAACTGACAGAAAACTGCTTTTTCGCATTGACTAACCATGTGCAGGTGCACAGTTTTCAGAAAGTGAATCTGTCCTTGAAGATCGGGGATTATATCAATCTCCATTGTTTGTTTTGCTTTCTTCTGATTGGCTCCACACCCCTTTTTTCTCGCTCCCCGATTGGTCTCTCGTCTGTCTCTAAGAGAAAGATGATTCTTGTTCGAGTCACCAGAAAGATCCGCTTCAAAGAATCTACTTAACATCATCCGTTACTCTGGATGCAAAATGTTGATGGAACTTTGAAACTTGCACTCATATTTTCCACCATTGTTGTCTAGTCTGTGACGTTTTTGAAATTTAACGACATGACACGATGTCCCTTTTCAAAATTTCTATGTTCTAATTATTTGTATATGAACGACTTGTCAAAGGTCCATCTCTACCAGAGGTCATTCGTTTACAATTATTAATCATTTATAATTATTGCGTTCTGTTTACATCAATAGAGTTTTTTTTCTCTCATTGCGATTTCATATGATTAGAACAACTAATTCGATCTTTGATTGGTTTTTAACAATAGACAATTTTTTTCCTAGTTTCGTTTTAATAAATTTCTAATAATAAATGTTTAATTTCAACTCATTTTTGGGACCTCACAAATGTAACCAGTAATGACCAGTTTTTTCATCATATGTTTTTCAAATATTCTTTTTTTTAAATTACCAATATTTAATTTTACTCTCATTTACAAGAAGTTTTAAAAATTGAATATGCTTATTTGATTATATTTACTTAATTAAATAGAATTAAATAGGTAATAATCTATCTATCTATATTTGGTTTATGGCATCTGACATCTCCAGGAACCCTCTCCATCTCTCTCTATCCATACACCATTCCTCTTTAATCCCTTTTTCACTACATGCTAACTTTACTCTGTCATATCAAGTTTGTCTGGGTCTTCCTCTCTTCCTTTTTTGCGAATTGTATTCCATTGACATTTTCGGGAGTCTCTCGTCACTCATTCTTTTCACACGTCCAAACCAAATAAGTTGTTTCCCCTTTATTTCTTCCAAAATCATCTCCTTCAATCCCATTAGGTCTTTGATCCTCTGATTAGTTATTCTTTCTCTTTTTGAGATTCTGCACAATCTTCTCAATGCATCTATTTCAACTGTTGTTACTTTTCTCTTCTCTTCCCCAGTCATTCTCCATGCCTTTGCCCCATAAAACAGAATGCTTTTAATCATAGCATTATATATATTTTTGTTTCTTGATCTAGTTATTTCTTCACTCCACCATATTCCATTTAATCTTTTAACTGCTCCCTTACCTTGTGCTAATCTGTATTAATTTCTAATGTATCTCTTCCATCTTGATGAATTTGTATTCCAAGATAATTGTAATGTTCACATCCTTCAATCTTTTTTTCTTCTTCCAGTTCCATGTCTGTTTTAGCCTCTCCTATGCTTAAATATTTTGTTTTACTCATGTTTATGCATAAACCTCCTTTAAAATATTCCTCTTTTATTTTTCTTGTCATGTATTCTAGATCATTAACCTCTGCCATTATCACCTCATCATTTGCAAATTGCAATATAAACATTTGCTTACTGTTAATATGTATTTCCATATTACATTTCCTTTTCCATATTTACAATACTCCTTCTATGTAGATTTTAAATAAAGTTAGTGAGATACGACATCCCTGTCTTAGTCCTTTTGATACCATAAATCCTTCTGATATTTTTTTCCAATTTTTATTTTTGCTATGGATCCTCTATATAACTTTTTAACTGCTTTAATAAGCATGTTATTAATATTTATCTCTTTTAATGTCTCCCATAATTTTGATGTTGGAACATTTAAGTAATAATTATAAGTTTAATAAAGTAAGACAAATATTTAAAATAATTATAATTATAAAATAATTATTTTAAATATTTGTCGTACTAAACAATGAAGTAAAATTTATTTTTTGAATAATAATTTAGAGATAGCTTTATAATCATAATATACATATTATTAAACTGTGAATATTAAATTAAGTCATCATCAACATAGTTTTACAGGTATGTGCTGCTTATAGATTTTCTGCTTAAAGATGGATTTACATATATGACAGATATCTCATAAGATTATAATGAGCTAAAAAATTCTTAGCTACCTACACCTTATTTATGTTTGGATTTATAAATACTTATCATTGTGTTACAGTTGTGTTACAAATAGCCTATTATTAGTAGACTATACTATATAAGGTTTGTCTAAGTATTAATACATTCTATGATGTAACCGAATCAAAACTAGAAACAAATTTAATGAGCAACACAACCATGAAATTCCAGCAGAATTCAATTTAACAAAACTAATGTTTTGTTAAATTGAATTCTGCATTTTGCATCTTCACTTATATACTTTATAATAAATTAATAGAAAATAATTCAAAATATGGAACATTTTTTTGCTTTGAATTTTGTTCTATTCATTTATTCTAAAACAGGGGTGTCCAACGTTTTTGTTCCTCTGGGCCACATTGGAAGAAGTCATGGAGTTTTGGGCCACAAGTATATATAGTATATTTGTGACCCAATCCTTAAATATACAAGTATATTTAAAGATTAACATATCTAGATTATAGTAATAAGTATTAAAACTTTATCACAAAAAAGGATATTTTAAAAAATTACTTCTACAGACACTTTCAGTTTTTACTTGTAAATAGATAAATTCATTTATTATAAAGGAGACAAACAAAAATTTATTTGAAAAACACAAATATTTGTTTTATCTGGGTCTCTAATTAATAAAAAACAAAAAAATGACAAAACACCATTTTAAAGTGCATTTTTATTTGACTAATATATTTTTGAATAATATGTAACCCAGAAAGTAGCCAATGCACCAAGTTATAATTTTTATGCCAAACTAAAAAAGGGTAGCCAAATTTGGAGGAAATTAGCCAAACTTGCAATGCTGGAAAGAATACTAAATAATACTGGAGTTGGAACTCAAAGGATTATAGACCCAAATTTGAGAAAAGGAGAGAAAGGCCAAAAGATAAAAAGTGGTGAGGAAGGTTGGAAAATTAAGGGTCAATATTTGCATAACAGAAAGTCTATTTAACCTTTCTCACTACTTTTTATCTTTTGGCTTTTTGCTCCTTTTCTCAAATTTTGGTCTATAATCCTTTGAGTCACAACTTCAGCTTTATTTAGTATTCTTTCATCATTCACACATCTCCAAGTATTTGAAAATATTTCCTTTTCACTCAAAAATAAAATATGTATAAAAGTTTGCAGCTTTGTGAAACTTATTTTTTGAGTTTATGCCGTCGAAATAAATAAATAAAAAAAATTAGACAATTTGTCGGTTTTGTTTACACGTTTATTGGGCCGCATTGGAACTTGCCTTGGGCCGTATGTTGGACACCCCTCTTCTAAAGGGTGTATCCGAGGATGACCTTTAAAACATGACTGAAAAGTTAGTTTTGTTAAATTGAATATTACTGGAATTTCATGGTTATGTTGCTAATACATTCTATAATGCTTGCTTAATGATTTATTTCTCAGAATTTATTATTGTTGTTAAGCTGTGCATACCTGTATTATAAAATTAACTAAATGCATTTTAAATTATTATTTTTCATAATAATGTTTGAATATTATTGTGAAAACTAAACTAACATATTAATTAGTAGAATTTATCACTGAAATAATAATCTGTTAATAAGAAATTAAATATTTTTCATATCAAATCATAGTACTATTTGTCTAATATGGTTTAAAGTAAATAATCTAATTGTAATTTTAAAGTTTAAAAACTTTATTTATTATGTAATGACTAATTATATTGTATAAATATTGATTATTTTTTGATAATTTTAAATTATTAAAATAAATTACAATAATATATAAACTGTCAATTTAATAGATGCTTCATCCATATATGCAATATGGGTATTTTTTTTCGTCTTTGTAATAATTGGAGTTCCTCTTTGGTGGAAAACAACTGAAGTATATAGAGTTACTTTACCTTACAGTGAAATTGAAAAATTACCATTTTTAGAGGTAAATCATTATGAAATAATTTTTTCCAATATCAATTTACACTTTAAATTAATTTTTAACACAACTGTTTAAAAATAATAATAAGTCATAAGAAATAGATTGAAGTCCATATTTTTCTCAATAAATTTTAATTGTATTACTTTATTGTCAAATTTGTAGGTTGATTAATAAATTTTAAAATGTTTAAGTTTCTTTTTTATAACTATTGATTCTATCATTTATGCACTATATTTTGAAGGATTGCTATACAACTGAAGGAGTCAAATGTTTTACCTTCAATTAAATGTTTTTGTGCATAGTAAAAAATGGTGTTTATCTACAATTAGAATTGAAGAGAAATAGGCTGATTTTATCAGAAGTAATTTGGTCTAAGCTCTCTATGTCATTAAAACATACAGAGCTTAAGTGAGTTGAGACCCAACAGTGGTTTACTTATGGTCCTAGATTACAAGTCTACCCTTTGTTCAGATTAGAGGTAGTATACTGTCTGAGTACATGGATGCTCTAAGAAGTTCTTAAGGAGAATTGGAACAAGATTAATTAATTAAATAATCAAACTTGGTTAGTTTGAAGTTAAAGGAACCAACAACAGATTTGAATTAAATAAGTTTTAGGTAGTAAAAAAGTTCAAAAATCATTTTTGGTACAAATATTCAATAAAACAATTTATTCAAAGACTTCTTACGGTATGTACAATGTAGCCCATTTTCAAATTTTAAAAAAAAGTTGAAATTTTTAATTTGTTGGGTGTTTATTCTTTGAGCAGTTATATACTGTTCTCTCCAAATTTGAACATTAATCTGTTGTAATTTGTATTAATTAAGATTAGCAATTTTTTGTATGACATCATTATTTAGTTGTTTTATTAATTTGTTAAATTAGATGATGTTTTAATTTGAGATTTAGCTGTTTGATAATTTTTATTTTTAACAACATTTCTAAGTTAAATGAGATCTATATTTGAATCTGTTACCAGTTCTTGGGATGTATTTATTTGTTTTATGTTTGAAACTGTTTAAGTGTTTGACTTGGTAATGATATCTTAAAAAAGTTTAATCAAAAATTCAACTTCTTAAGTTGTGTAGCAATTCTTAAAAATGTTTAAAAAGTCACACAGAATCATGAGCCATAATTTTTATTTAACAGAAACATTTTCAAACTATTTCAGTTGTTCATCAACTGGTTTTAGAATAACAGTTTCTACATCAAATAAATTAAACTTTAATTTGAATTTTAATTTATTCGATTTTATTACTTTATTCTGTTATTCCAAGACCAAGTGACAAATGAATCTGGATGGTTTATCTGTCATATATGGAGTTTTGTATTTGAGTCTGTTTATTATGATTTGATGATTAAGGAATGATTTTTTTTTCTTTAAATGAAAAATAATAGAAAGTTGATTTCATGATAAGTATTTTTAAAATAAAAACTGTAAAATTAAATTTTAACGAGCATTTCTTATATTCAGGTTGTCCATTCTGTTCCAGTAACATTAATTATTGCTGACAAATCAATAGCTCAAATAAGATTAAAACAAAGTTTAATAGAGGCTAATTCTGACAGTGGAAACCAATTAAAAGTTAAATATCATTTAACTCTGAGAGATATATCAAAAGAAGAAGAAAATATTTTAAATGAATGCCAGTCCATTTCAGGTAGGTTTTCATCTTTAATAATTAAAAATATTTTATTATTAGATTATTAAACATTGTAATTTGAATATAAAGTAAGTTTAAATATTAAATTTTATATTTATTCTGTGATACTGTGGCTGGCCATATACAGTGGTACCTCAGGATACGAACGCCCCAGCATATGAAATTTTCGGATATGACGACATGAAATTTGAACATATTTTTGCTCCACGATAAGAACAAAAGCTCACCATACGACGTTACATTAGTTCGCAGCACCATTTTTTTATTCACTTCTATTCATAGGTCTCAGTCCGTGTGTTTACTTCGTCGTGGAAGGATCTTGCTCGATAAAGGAAATCTTGAGGTATTATCAGGAAGTGACTAATTTTATTGAAAAGAAACATCCCAAAAAGGTTCACACTGGCAGTATTGCTGCTCAGAATAATGACATTTACCTAAATCATTTTAGAAACATTTTAAAAAGTAGGCAAAGCCAAACCTCTTTGGATAGATATTCTAACAAGTGACCTTTATCCAGTGAAAGTGCTGGTGGAAGTGAAGGAAAAAAGCAAAACGCAGTGAATAAAAATTAAAAATATATATAAAACAACACTAATTTTTTAAAATCTTTTCTAAGTTATTTTTAAGTTATTGTTACGTTATGTTATGTAAGTTAAGTTTTAGTATCATTTCCCTTCTCCCTCTCTTCCGCCACCAGTTTACACCTCCATCGTCGTCTATCCTCAAATGTAAAGTGCAAATAAAACTACATTTTTTTTAATCAATTATTATTCTATTATGGTTATTTATACATTTATAACTACAAAATACATTTTTCAGTGTATCCTTACTATAGTTATTTTTTTTTTAAATGTACTACTTAGCTTTAATTTGAGTGTGTTTTTCGTGTTGGAACAAATTACTTGGTTTTACATGTAATTGTATGGGAAAGAATGATTCGCCTTACGACATTTTCATGATACAATCTCAGTTTTGGAACGGATTAATTTCATATCCTGAGGTACCACTGTAGTTTTGTGTTCTTCTTGATATCAGGCAAATTTGGTCTGGAACATTTTGTTTTGTAGGATGCATATTTTTTGAAATATTTCCTGATAACATTATAAATGGACTGTATATAAATACATTATTCTACTAATTTTAAAACTTGATATATTACATAAATTTTAATAGTATCTATATATGATTTTTTAAGAATTTAGCAAAAATGTATATCAGAATGGAATGGAACCTAGTATTGGAAGTTTACAGATATTTATTTTATCTGAGAAATCACATCTTGGAATTTTTGAAACATTAGTAGATGTTCATCGCACCAGTTTTTGTGTTAATAAATATGCAGGTTTGTTGCTTTTACTTCATATATATAAATATTTATCTGGAAATAATTGAATTTAAGATAAATATCAGTGGTAATGTTAATAATAAGTTAATGTTTTGTTCAGTGATAAATTTAAATTAGTAATAAATAAGACTGTTAAAAAATTTTATTGCTATTGATTGCTGATTATTGCCAAATGATTGCTGGATTATATTGGGTTATATTATTAATAATTAAAGGTTCAGCAATTGTTTGGTTTTAATCAAAAAATTGGGTTTTTAGATGTTTATATTTGTATAATTTTTGTCACAATTAATCTTAAGTTAATCACATTTTTAATCCTAAATATTTATAAATTAGAGATAACCCTGATAAACATTGAAAATTAAACATTAAAAACTACTAAAAATAACAATTAGAAGAAAATTAAATTTTAAATATTTCATGATTTAAACTTCTTAATAAAACCGCTGTTTTTTCTCTTTTAGTCATTGAGACAAATAAATTGGTTCAAATTGGTAGTATTGAGTAAACTATGCTTTTTATCAAGTATGAGTCCAATAAATAAAACTCTCTTGGCATAGTAATTATAGATAATGCCTGATATTTCAATACAAATTGCTCAATATAAACATGCAATGCATAACATATCTTCTACTGTTTTAGTAGTAAACAAGACATCTACACAAGTTCATATTTATAGTGTTCAATTACAATAAGCACATAGATAGAAAATCATATTGTAGGCAGAAACAAAAAGCTTTACCTTAGCCAATATCAATTAGTTTATTAGAAAATAATCAAAATTTTAATTAATAGATTGTTTGAATTAGTATTTTATAATGCCTACCACTTTTATTAATAATTTTTATGAATTCTTGCATTTATATAGGAATTTTTCAATAATATAAGTTATAAAAATTCACACAACTAACTGCTAGAAATGGCACACTTAATGTGCTATAATTCAATCTTCCAGTTCAATGGCGATACCTACACGCAAGATAGAAGGGTCCCCATGGAAGCCCTGTTTCAGGGGACCTGTGTGAAATGGTGGTGCAACAGTTGGAGAACAAGGTCTTCCCCACTTCCTCCCCAACATCCTGTTATATAGAAGATATATTGACGATATTATTTTTTGGAAGATGGTACCAGAGCTAATGGCTTTTGTTGATTCTTTTAACAATAATCCCTATGGGTTGACCCTGGAAATAGAACAATCCAACTCTACCAAAGTGCACTTCCTAGATATAAATATTAGAGTGGAAGGCTCAGACATCCACACGTCGGTGTATCATAAGCCAGAGTCTATGTCGGCATACATACCAGTAGGATCGTATGATCTGGTTTTGTACAAGATTGTGACCTATAAAGCCTTAATCAATAGAGCCTTTACACATTCTTCCAATACCCAGGCTTGTGATATTGAACTAGCATCTATAGAATGCATAGCTAGAGCACACAGTTACCACAAAGTTGCATGTAGGCTGATACAACATTATCATTGAATACATTCAGTACACATACAGGGGGTGGACCAGCCGATCAATAACCAACCCAGTGACATAGAACGGATCCCCATCACCTTTAATTCGTACCTAAGATCCTTATATGCCAAAGTTGTCAAATGTCGGGTATGTATCACTTTCATGAGGTTTCCAACTATTTTTAACGTCCTACATAATGGGAAGGACCCTCCTAACCCCAGCAGATACCCCAGAGTGTATAGTGTCTCTTTAAGGGATAATAGATGCGATAGAGACCTGATATATATAGGTTCTAGTAAATGTTCCGTGGGTATCAGAATACAAGAACATCAGGTGGATATTCATCATGCGAGAACCTCCATGTCCTTCACTACTTATGTAACAGATCCTGACATAGTAGCTGACTTTTCCCAGGCCAATCTCCTCCTCGCTGCACCTCCCACTGAACACCTGAAATGGTTAGAGGCTACGCACATTTTTAAATCTAGTATTGCAGTTATGTGCATAAATTTTAAAGAGGAGATGGTTTTGTCATTGGCCTGCAGGAATTGATTCACAACTTACTCTAGCTACTTGTTGTGTCCAGGCAGGCCATGTTGCGCATGTGCGACACGGTTTTTTGTAAATTTTTTTGAACTTATAATCGATAATCAAACTCTTATTTAAATATCATTCCATAATTGAATATCCATCTAGGAATGATGCAGAACCCAGAATGGGTTCGAAAATGTTCGTTTTTCAATGTTTTTTGTATCACACCGTAATTTGGCTCCGAGTGCATCATTCTTATTAAAATTCTTCTTTTATCTTAGAATTGAACTTTCTTATACTAAAGAGCAACATTTAACTCATATGATTTTCTTCTGTAACTGATTTTTGTTTATTAATTTATAAATATATAGGTTATGGTTAATATATATTTATAAATATAATGATTTTAATGATAAACTATAAAAGCAATTAATTTAACAAAGTAATAAAGTATTTATAAATTAAAATATTGTAAGAGTAAATTGTAAACAAGACAATAATTTTAAATATATGACTATATGCAGAATGTCCATGCAAATAAATCAACAGAATGTTTTGCAATTATATTAAATATGGAATAAATTTATAAATATATAGGGTATAAATTTGATGATGTATTTTTGTATTTTCAATATAAAAAAAAAATTAATTGACATAATTGATTTAATTTTAAGTTAAATATTAGAAATAAAATATTTTTATGATTATTTATTAGAAGAAGAAAAATTGGCTGCTGACATTTCTAAATTGTTGAAGACTGTCCTAGTAAAAGATGACATTTTAAAAACAGTTTTCATATCTACTGAAAATAAAGAACGGAAACAGGTAATGAAATTTAAAATAATAGAAATAATTATTTATCATATTAAAATTCAATAAAATCAATATTAAATTGCAAATTTAATGGCTTTAATGTTTATATTATTTACAGTGGAAACAAAAATCAAGTTTAGTGGATTTAGTAATATAAAAGTTTATGAAAGAAATATGAATCTTTATAATGTAAAAGATATTATAAATATATTAAATACTGTATTTGCTTAATTAAATCATGAGAGTTTATTTTTAAAATTTACATATCTGCTGTGGTTTATTTCAAGTTCTGTGGTTTTTGAAGCAGGGTGGAAGATATATTGCAATAGGAGATGAATTAGTAAAAATTGAAATACCTAAATTATGTACACATTTTTGAAACTTTTAAAACTGTTTGTTGAGTGTATTTATAAGTTATAGCTACATTTAAAATAAATAATTTTTTTAATTAACCTGATTCAGTTGTTAGATTGTCATTTGTGTCTTTTTTAATGTTATTGTCAGAATAAGGATCTTGACAACCATTTTCTGATTCAGACTCACTGTCTCCAATTAGAATTTTTCTAATTATCCTTTGGCTGATAAGATCTCAACTTATAAACTCAATTGTATCTTTCTTATGTTCAATATTTGACAGTATTTATAATTAACAAGAAAAATGTTTCTGTGAGCTTTAGAATGGAAATTACTATTCTACTGTAGACAATTTGAAGAGGTCGAATTTTAGTTCAATTTCTTACCTGTCTCTCTAAACTACTTTATTCTGTATAGTGCAATACTTCAACATGTTTCCCATGCTTTTCAACCTGGGCTGTATTTGAGACTGCAGTTTATTTTTAGCATCATCTTTATTCCCAGGGATTATTCAAAGATTGGGTTTTAAATGAGAAAATATGGTGTGTGTGTGTGTGTGTGTGTGTGTGTATATATAATGTTTTATTACTTTTTAAAATAATTTTATTCCATAAAAAGAAAATATTTAATTAATTAATCCAGCAATTATAATTAATTGCTGAATTAAAGGTTGTTTGCATTTTAGTCTTCAACTTAATCTAATGCAGATAAAAATGCTGCTTGTATATATATTATATATAATTTCATAATATCAATTAGATTCAGTTTTAGTATAACTTTTGACAAGTTAAAATTAAATTATATGATTACATTTTTAATTCAAATTTTTAAATCATTAATTAACTCTACTGGTATCTAAAATTTGACTTTGAAAATTTTCAGTTTTATATTTGCATATAATTTAACTGGCTTATTATAATGATGTGTTTATAGATTATATTACTTCAGTTTAAAAATAAAAGCCATTAATAAAATATATAAAATTTTGAATGGACAATTGAATTTAGATGAAATTGGAAGATAGAAAATATTTGGAAAGTGTTAAATAAAAATTGACATGTAATAATTTAATTTGGATAACTGAATTTTTAAAAGGTAAAAACTTTACATTAATGTTTATAATTGAATAATATAAAATTTTCATAAGTAGTAATGAAATTTTTTATTTTGTGTAATATTGTATTGTGAACAGTTATGAAAAACTGAATTACACAAGTAATTATAAATTATTAGGAAAGTTATTTGGCATTCACTTGCAGAGTTAAAATCTATGGAGTTAAGATTAAATATGAAAGGAGATTAAATATTAAAGGATATAAAGATTAAATATGAAAGGAGAGATTATACTTGTATAGTATTTTATTCTATTCATAGTAGCCATTAAACAGATTAGCTTTATAAAAGTATTTGGAATATAGACTAATTATTTCTGGAGCCTATTGAAGTTATTGTTGATATTGTGTTGCTATAAATTTCATAATTATTATTATTAATTATCTAGATCAGTGATTCTCAAAGTTTTTTGAGCCACTGCCCCTTGGTTCCATAAACTTATACCAATGCTCCCCCAAAAGTACTCGCAATGCCCCAACCCATTTTTCCTTGGGTGAGAAAGACTTGGAAAATATTCTTAGAAAAGCTTTTCTATAAACCTTGCACTTTTTGTCCTTACCATACATTGTTCACTACACCTGGAAACCATTAAATGCAATGTTTCTTCTTACCTGTTTTAATAGAGGAAAGGGAAAGGTTGTCAGTGACCCCAACCCTTGCCTATAGTCATTGTTTGTTCTCCCTCCAGTGCCCCCACCACTCCTTGCCTCTCTTCTCCCCCTAGATTTACTCACTGTCCCTGGGGCAATAGTGCTCACTTTGCAAATCATTGATCTAGCTTTACTATGTAGCTTAATTGAAATTAAGTTTATTCCATATTTTTACTTAAAGATTTTTAAGCTATTAACTTTATTATTGAAAGTTGTAACCTAACTAGAATTCTTTAAAAAATAATTTGTTATTTTAAAGATTTTTAACAGTTTAATGTGAGTTATTCTCTATTATTTTATAGCCTGACAAAGAAAGCATGAGATCATTAAGTGCAACAGCTACTTTTGACATTACTTTTAATCTTATTGTGCCTCAGCCCTCTATAGATGATGTGCATTGGAATATTGTTCAAGCTGTAGATGGTATGTCTAAAGTATTAAGTCAAATTCTTAATTTTAAAATACTTTTTAAGATAATTATGGATTCAAGAAAATTGGTTAAAAGTAAATTTGATTTTGATTAAAAAAGTCTTTCAACCAATCTTCAAATTTAAAATTTAGATGGAAAATTCAGTTTTTTTTTAAAAATGTAATAACAGCTGAAGAAATGAAGATGTTTGAAGATTTCTGTTATCTTGCTCTGTTATAAACTAGTTGCACCCAGCAAAATATTGCTGTAAAAAATTGTTAAAATAAATAGGGAAAATAAAAGAAAAATTTCTTGGTATACAACATCTACATATTTTTTATGTAAATACCTTCACAGCTAGGTATTCATTTCTGCATACAAATTAAGCAAATGATGTTCAATTGAATAGTTTTTTGCTTCTTTCTGGCCTACCTGTAAGGCAAGAAAGAAGCCATCTTGAAGAAAACTTATTACTTACGTAGACGTCATTTTATTGAAAGAAATGGTGTCAGGTCTCCTGAGCAAAGTTTAATTCACAATAATCGTTTTGTAACTAAATATCAAACTCAGCATTTTTAAAACACTTAATAAACATTAAACACCTTCTCTCGCTGAGAAATGTTTATTTAATGAAATACTAACTTACTGAATTAACATTTTCAGCCTCATGGAATAGGCCATCCTCAGGTGTAAATGAGTTCAAACGTATTTTAAAACTGTAACAATGGAATGTTTGAACATTATACATTCAAATTTAAAACAAAAATAATAGGTAAATTAGGAAATAAATAACAAAATAAAATGTACTAAATACAGTGAAGCAACAATAATATAAATAATATAATAAAATAAATAAAACAAAATAAAATAAAATAAATACATAAAAATACAAGGGCAGGTACAGACTAAGAATTCTTAAATTTTAATTTTTATTTTATGTAGAGTTTCCAGAAAGAAGCTAATCCATCCGCATCTCTGGCATTAATATAACCGTCCTTTAATTTACTTTTATATATTTCAATTTTTTCTTCGTGCAAAGCTAATGATGGGGAACACATGGTCTTGAGGATAGTTGCTTCACTCCATTTAACTACAGAGTCCTCTGCTTGTTGCCATTCTTATGACTTATGTGAAGTCACAAGAAGAAATTTAGCTGTTAGACTTAAATAACACAAGTATGACATTAATAAAGGGCACTGCAACACAGTTTTGTCAAGTATAGCACAAACAGAGGACACTGTAGTTAAATGGAGTGAAGCAACTATCTTCAAGACTATGCATTCTCCATCATTAGCTTTGCAGGAAGAAAAAATTGAAATATATAAAAGTAAATTAAAGGACGGTCATATTAATGTTAGAGATGCGGATGGATTAGCTTCTTTCAGGAAACTCTACATAAAATAAAAATTAAAATTTAAGAATTCTTAGTCTGTACCTGCCCTTGTATTTTTATGCTTTTTTATGTATTTATTTTATTTTATTTTTATTTTATTTTGTTTTATTTATTTTATTATATTATTTATATTATTGTTGCTTCACTGTATTTAGTACATTTTATTTTGTTATTTATTTCCTAATTTACCTATTATTTTTGTTTTAAATTTGAATGTATAATGTTCAAACATTTCATTGTTACAGTTTTAAAATACATTCAAACTCATTTACACCTGAGGATGGCCTATTCCATGAGACTGAAAATGTTAATTCAGTAAGTTAGTATTTCATTAAATAAACATTTCTCGGCGATGGAAGGTGTTTAATGTTTGATTAAATCTTTCTGTAATAAAATGAAATTTAAAAAATAATTGGAAATCGATAAAAGATTGTCAAATCGAAGTTATTTTCAAAAGTATTTTTATACAGGATGAGGTAATTTTAACAGCCAGAATAGCAGGAGGAACACCACTATGGAAAGAGCAAAATTAAAAGTATTTTTGCTTCTAATTATTTTAAGTGCAATGAAACAATAAGTTAGATGCAATAGAGCTCAACTAAATTAAGTAAGCTTCAAAATGATGTGTAAAACATAAATGTAATTCATATGCAAGTACTGTAATAAATTGGAAATAGTTTTTACCTTAGCATATTCTATATACCAGTGGTGCCTCATATAATGTACTTAATCCGTTCCAAGTGCACATCCGTTAAGTGAAAAGTCTGTTGTACGAAACGCATTTTCCCATAGAAATACATGTTAAAACATATAATTCATTCCACAGCATAAAATAACCTTACTGTACCATAAAAAAAAATGAAAATGGAGTAGTCACCAATTATGCCGAGTAGTCAGATGTTGAGGAAGACGTGGAGGAACACTTTCTTCACACATTCATACAGATACAGACTTTTTACACATTGCAGCACGTCTGTTTTTATTGTTTTTTAATCGGAGTCAGATTCAGGAGAGGCTACCAGAGCTTGCAAGGTCAACTCCTCTTGTTCCATCCTTTGTTTTTTGGCAGCTGGCTTCTTGAAAAACATGCTCAAGGTGGTCTGTTTCTCTCTCTTCTTCAACACCTGTCAGAAATGACGGGCAAGGGTGTCATTGTAGAGATCATTGATCCTGTTGGCCTCAACTGTGTTTGGATAGTGAGTGTTGGTAAACTCCTGAACCTCTCCTCATTTGATGAGGAAGTTTTTTTTTTTATAAGTAATTGAAGACACAGACTGTCCAAAAAATATAAAAAACTTTTTTGGTAGACACCATTTATTCACTTCACGTGTTCCAGAACAAAAACTTTTTGATGACCTGACCTTCTTTTTTAGGTTACTTGGCCGTCAAGTTTACAAACATTCCTTTAAAAACACAGAAAAATATCTAATTAAAATGATAAATTTCAACTTAGAGTTCATGGGTCTTACAGCCATCTTCATGTTTTTCATCCTTTCCATTGGGGATTTTCGGCCTTTATATCTACTGAAGAAATGTGCTGGTATATGTTTTTGGACAGTCTGTATCTTCAATTAACTTATACAAAATTAATATCATCCAACAAAATTCCAAGAAAAAAGGAAGTTTTTGTCAACTTTCCCTCCTGATGATGTCTTGCTTTGTTTCAATTGAAATCACCTTTCTGTTTTTTTGAAGCCATGATTTGCACAACACTTGAATAAATGTAAATACACTGCACTGAGGTGATGTACGTAATAAACAAGGGAGCAAGCCAAATCCCAACGGGAGCTCTGTACTTCAGATATACTAATAATATATTCTAATAGTACTAATATATTATAAAAATAGCAGATTGTCATTGGCAACGGCAAAAGAGTGGAAACATCATTCACACTTGTTTGCAGAAAGTCCGTTGTTCAAGGTGTAAGTTATATGAAGCACTACTGTATATAGATAATATTTTTACATATATTTTTCTATTGGAGCATATAATGTTGGTTTTCTTCCATTTTTGGATTTATTTATTTCTGTCTCTAATAATAAATTCTTTTTTTCAAGTATATTACCAAAATAAGTCATCTCCAATTTTTTCCAGAAAAAAAATTCTTTTCAATTTGGGCTACTGTTAATTTTGCTTTCATTCCACATTTTCAAATGGCATTCAACTTCAGTTGAAAGTTTGAGTAGTGTACTTATGATAAATAATAGTTTATGAAATTAAATTTCCTATTTAAACAGTTAAATCAAGTATTTATTGTTTCTTCATCCAAGTTACTTCTGATCAAATCTGATATTAAATTTTTAATGGGTCTGTGAATTTGTTTGGAAAATCTAATTTGTAATTTGTCGAGGTCAACAAGTTGTTTTCCGTTAACACTGCAATTGTTTCATTTTCTACATTACATAGTATTTATGCAAATGATAGAAACCCATGGAAAGAATGTAAAAAATTGGAATATATATCATTCCTTAACATGATTTACAAACACACTACTATATAGGAGTGACAAAAGAAGCATAAGAAAGACATTATTAATAACAGAAAAGTCACAATATTGATCAAGTTAACTATAAACAAAATATTTAAGCCTGAATGGAATGAGACCAGGGTAGGATTTTTATCACATGAAAAATGTTAATTATAACAGAAATGGTTTTAAGCAATAATGAATGATAAAAGTGAAATTATATTTTTGAGGTGGAGCATTAGTGAAGTCTATTCTATATGGCTTAAAAAATTGCATTAGTTCTCAAAAATTTGATTGACTGATTTTGATAAAACTTTGCCATTTTCCATTAATTGCAATGAGGAATCCAAAAATACAATAAAAAAATAGGGGTGTGTGACTTTGTTTTTGAGATACAGTAATGCCAAAGTGAAATGTTCAAGCTCCTTGATACAATTGAGCACATCTAATGGAATTTAGAAGACAAAAAAAAAATGGAAAATAGGATGAAAAAATGAACAAAAAAACACAAGAACAAAGCAATCAATGCAGATTGCTATTGGAGCATTTCTCCATGACTAGCCAGTGCAAGAATCACTTCTTCCATGTTCAGCAGGTGCAAGAATCATCTCTTTCTTACTGGCTCTGTCTCAATTTTATCTCAATACAACAAAATTGCATGAGGTCTCTAGTTAATTATTTGATTCATTTGTGTAATTTGAGTTAGTTAATCAGTTATTAATATATATTATTAATATAAATGTAATGATGGACTCTCAGCTTCATAAAGTGTTTTATTATTGATAATTACGGTATTGATAATATAAATATGACTTCAATCACATTTTTAATAAATCAGAATATATTTAGAGAAATATAATAAATCAAATTATTTATTTAATTTAATACAGTAGAGCGTCGATTATCTGAATCAATTGGGGACCGGGGTTGTTCGGAAAATCGATATTTTGGATAACCAATTATGTACGAAAAAATATATTAACCTATCCCATGTTGAAATTTTTCTCTGTTGCGTGTCGCTTCGCGTTGAATTTTCGTCGATGTTAAGCCTAATGTAAACTTTTTAAAATAATAATCGTGACTATTGTATTGTTAAAAATTATTTTTTTATTTTGTACAAACAAAATAAATATATTGAAAAATATAAAAACAATAAAAAAATTATACTTCAGAAGTTAATTTAGTATAAAAAACGTAAAATATTTGAGTAGCTAAAGATTGCAGTGCCACAGCACTGGCGGAAATTTAATTTGCCGACTGGAATTCTTTCGGATAATCGACGCTCTACTGTAGTACAATTGGTAAGAGTGTTTTTATATTATTTTAAAAGTTTTTATTATGTAAGACAGAACAAAATATAAAAGAGAAGAAAACTTAAATGACTTTTTATTATTTCAGAATATGTCAAGCCATTTCTTGATAAATTATCAATTCTAGGAAATGTCAATGTTAATAGTCAGGTATGTATTCATAATAAAATTTAAATGTTAATAATAATAATTGTGCCAATAGTCCTTTTAAGATGCTTTTCATATTAAAACATTTCTGGCACGTTTTTAGTGCTCAATTTAAATATAAAGTTCCAATTAATGAATTGCATTTCTTTTGAAAGAAACAATTCATTAATATTTAAAATGCATTATCTAAATATTTGTTACTGCAATTATTATTATTATTTTTTTTTGTATTCTTCAAAGCATGCAAGCAAAAAGATATTTACCATGGTTTTCTTATCAATAACTGAAAGTATTTTTCAGTTTTTATCCCATGAAGTATGTTAGAAAAAAAAATCTTAATTTTTCTAATGATTGTATGAAAAAACAATTAATGATGCAATTGTGAGAATCAGGATTTATTTAAGTAATTAGCATGGGAAATGTATTTGGTTTTACAAATTTGTTTACCAAAAAGGAAGACATGTTCGAAAACTTTTTACATTTCGAGGAAATCGACTTCCTTTCCCACAAGACCATATCTACAAATTTGACATCCATCTGGAGTCACCCCCTCTTCACGTCCCCACACATCCCGTCTGCAAACTTAAATTCTGACCATAGAAATCTTCAATTGATGATGATAAAAAGGTGACTTGCCCGCCATTCAAGGCAGTCCACGAGAACTTGGAAAGTGCCATAAGAGACCCTCAGTCTAAGAAAGAAGAGTTAGGCCACAGACAACAAGCAGTCCTCCACAATATGAAAATGCCATAGAAGATGCCATAAACACACAAATCTTTAGACGAGAACTTTTTAACTTTATGCGCTGCCAAATAAGAAGATAGTTTCCGCTATTTCATCGCCCTCCTCTATGAGTTCAATGCTACAGAAGAAGACTACCAATTGATCAACATTTGAAGTAGTACATTTGATATCTGTAAACTTTCTCTCTCAGATTAGAGGTGTAAATAGAGTTAAATTTGATCATGCTAACTTGTATTTGTAGTATTATATTGTATCTCATTGTTGTTATCTTTTATATTAGTAAACTTTTATTTATTAGTTAACCACCTCACTATCTAGCTGGCATATAAATTATTACATAAAGTTTAAACTTTCTAATCAAATACAAGTATGTTTTGACTTATGACAGAGACCACTAGTTTGGTTGCAAGTCAAATTTCACAAAGACATTAACGACATACAAATATATTTTTGTGTTTCTCAAACACAAATAAGTGTCACAAATTACAACACTTGGCATTTTACCATCTTTATTCAGTTGATACGCGTATTGTTACACGTTTCGGGCTAGTTCTGCCCCTCATCAGTCAACTAAAGTAATAAAAGAAGAATACATAAAATATAATACCATACAGAAAAGAACATCTGTAGATAAATAGATTATGGGACATACCTTTGGATGTCAACAGACTTGAAGATTGCTTACATATACATGTAATAAAGCATTTTTTAATATCTTTTTTAAAAAATAAGTATTATGAATTATATTTACTTTTATAAAATTATAATCGAATACTATGACAATTACATTTATAAGAAATTTACAAATTAACATCATACAATTTAAACATACCTTAAAAAATTTGTTTACACTACAAATGCACTTTTCCCGACAATAAAAAGATGATTTCCACGACAATATAAAATCAATGAACATCTGTTAAAAATTTAGAAATCTGTTTAAAATTTGTTCTCCACTTGTTCTGATTTAGTAATATGGAATATATTTTTCAGGTAATATGTCCATTCATATACCTATATTGATTTAAAACCTGTATTAAATGCATAAATTTTAATTCATGCATTTAAATCAATCATGGTTTTAAATCAATATAGGTATATGAATGGACATATTACCTGAAAAATATATTCCATATTACTAAATTAGAACAAGTGGAGAACAAATTTTAACACCATTTTACTATAAATAAGACCTTGTTCAAGAACAGTGACAGTTTGCTTTTTTGTTAAATTCTTTGTCACTTCTAAATGCACAACTGGATTAAGATACTTTTGCTTTATACAAATATCTACTTTTTATTGATGTTGCTGGCTCCACCACTATCACGCATTCCGACACAAATTTGCATATTATTACAACATACAGTGATTAAACCACTAGTAGACTTTAATATTCATTCATTAATGCAAACAAAAATTGAATATAAAATACAATGAAATGATTATAAACATTTTTTCAACCAGTTTCCGTTTATTTTGATGCTTTCTTTAATAAACAAAATATTCCTCATTTAAAATAATTTTATATTAATTTATAACTGAATAATTAAAACTTTGAAAATGTTTCTAAAATTGAAAAATTAACTATGAAACTTTAAAAGACATGTCTAATGCACTACTCATTGAGCATAGTCTCCCAGTTGAAGCATTTATCCCAGTACTACACAAGCTTAAAAGGTGACTCTTATAAAATTGCTATACAGTCGATCCCCTATAAGACGGTAGATACGTTCTGTTCTTTATGAATCAATTTTGTAGGAATCACAGCCTGACACGTGTGAAGTTTACAGACTACGGCTGTTTGAAAGGTTTTCTTCCATAAAATTAATCGATTCTAGATTAATCCGACTCAACATTTCCAAAATACATATATTTTTTTTGGAAATAATCTGTATAAAGTAAGCTATAAACAAAAAATTGTAGGATTACTTACAGAGTGTGCACCATTTGACATCGCTGTTGCTCAAGTTTGTTTTCGTCTCGGAACAGCGCACCAAACCGCAGCCGCAATTTCTGATGTTATTTTTCAGCGAAAACTTCGCTGAACTTTGGAGACATCGTTAATATAAATAATTTTAATTGCCATTGAATAAGAAATGTTTCTTTCACAAGAAATGTATAAAATTACAGTGCTGTATTAGACTTACGGTACCTAATTTACATACTGTACAGACGATAGCTCGCCTAAACTGTCCGTAGCATGATGCTAGACGGCGGAAAGTATATATATAATTATAATAANAGTTTCTGTTTATACCTATGCAAAAATTTAATTTAAAATAAATGTTTTAATTACCTTAAAAAATTCATTAAAATATTATTTAAGTAACATAGATAAATTTAATTTAATATTGTACATAATGAATTAATTGTTATTTGTATTCTCTCAATATTATTTTAATGTTGCTTGTTTTCATTGAACCAGATTTATTTACTTTCAGTTACATTATATGACATTTTTAAATATTCAGACGAAAACGAATTCTCGGTCTGGTGAACATATTTTGGAATTTGATCATTTGCCATCTATCATTAACCCAATTGAAGCAAAATTAGGTAGGAGAACTAATCAATTTGATTCAGTGTTTTCCCCAGAAAAAACCCTTAGGTGGTTGACCTGCAAAATTAGCTGGTTGCTACTGGGATGTCAGTTCACAGTTATATAATAAAGTTGAATTGCATAATAATCCATATTCTGGTTATCTTAAATACAATAAAATAAAAATAATTTTTATTTTATCGTATTTAGGTGATTGGTGATCAATCAACCAGCTAAAACTGACCTGGAGAGAAGACTACAATTATGAAATTATTATATGTAATCATTTCATATTATTATTATTATATATAAAATTTTTTCATGTCTGTATCATGCGAGAAGAGCTGAATAGATTCCTATGAAACTTTGTATGTATATTCAGAATAGTCTTGGGAAGGACAGACTACTTTCCATTCCCAAAATCACTTGATTTTATAAGCTTTGATAGAATTATGAAATTGTTTGCTAGAGTCAACAGTTTACATCTGGTTCTTATCAAGTTTTTTGCATGAATAGGAAGTTATGTCCAGAATCTGGTGGGTGTGAAATAAACCATAAAATTTGATACAATGGGCAAAAGAAAAATAAAAATGAGGTAGATATTGAAGAGAATATTTACTAAAAAGTTATTTCAAAGATGTAAAAGATTGAATACTACTACTGAAAGACTAAAGAATGAGAAAAAAATAATAAATTTATGAAATAAAATATAAATAATATATTTAATTTACAATTTGTTATTTTTATTTTATATGTAAATACACATTTTATTATTATTTGCTTTCATAATTATATTTTCAGGATCTCATGTTTCAGTTAATCCATCTTTAAACTTTGTCATTTACATACCATCTCAAGCTCAATCTCCTCTTCAAATATATGATGAAAAAGGTAATTAAAAGGCAGTCCACGAGAACTTGGAAAGTGCCATAAGAGACCCTCAGTCTAAGAAAGAAGAGTTAGGCCACAGACAACAAGCAGTCCTCCACAATATGAAAATGCCATAGAAGATGCCATAAACACACAAATCTTTAGACGAGAACTTTTTAACTTTATGCGCTGCCAAATAAGAAGATAGTTTCCGCTATTTCATCGCCCTCCTCTATGAGTTCAATGCTACAGAAGAAGACTACCAATTGATCAACATTTGAAGTAGTACATTTGATATCTGTAAACTTTCTCTCTCAGATTAGAGGTGTAAATAGAGTTAAATTTGATCATGCTAACTTGTATTTGTAGTATTATATTGTATCTCATTGTTGTTATCTTTTATATTAGTAAACTTTTATTTATTAGTTAACCACCTCACTATCTAGCTGGCATATAAATTATTACATAAAGTTTAAACTTTCTAATCAAATACAAGTATGTTTTGACTTATGACAGAGACCACTAGTTTGGTTGCAAGTCAAATTTCACAAAGACATTAACGACATACAAATATATTTTTGTGTTTCTCAAACACAAATAAGTGTCACAAATTACAACACTTGGCATTTTACCATCTTTATTCAGTTGATACGCGTATTGTTACACGTTTCGGGCTAGTTCTGCCCCTCATCAGTCAACTAAAGTAATAAAAGAAGAATACATAAAATATAATACCATACAGAAAAGAACATCTGTAGATAAATAGATTATGGGACATACCTTTGGATGTCAACAGACTTGAAGATTGCTTACATATACATGTAATAAAGCATTTTTTAATATCTTTTTTAAAAAATAAGTATTATGAATTATATTTACTTTTATAAAATTATAATCGAATACTATGACAATTACATTTATAAGAAATTTACAAATTAACATCATACAATTTAAACATACCTTAAAAAATTTGTTTACACTACAAATGCACTTTTCCCGACAATAAAAAGATGATTTCCACGACAATATAAAATCAATGAACATCTGTTAAAAATTTAGAAATCTGTTTAAAATTTGTTCTCCACTTGTTCTGATTTAGTAATATGGAATATATTTTTCAGGTAATATGTCCATTCATATACCTATATTGATTTAAAACCTGTATTAAATGCATAAATTTTAATTCATGCATTTAAATCAATCATGGTTTTAAATCAATATAGGTATATGAATGGACATATTACCTGAAAAATATATTCCATATTACTAAATTAGAACAAGTGGAGAACAAATTTTAACACCATTTTACTATAAATAAGACCTTGTTCAAGAACAGTGACAGTTTGCTTTTTTGTTAAATTCTTTGTCACTTCTAAATGCACAACTGGATTAAGATACTTTTGCTTTATACAAATATCTACTTTTTATTGATGTTGCTGGCTCCACCACTATCACGCATTCCGACACAAATTTGCATATTATTACAACATACAGTGATTAAACCACTAGTAGACTTTAATATTCATTCATTAATGCAAACAAAAATTGAATATAAAATACAATGAAATGATTATAAACATTTTTTCAACCAGTTTCCGTTTATTTTGATGCTTTCTTTAATAAACAAAATATTCCTCATTTAAAATAATTTTGTATTAATTTATAACTGAATAATTAAAACTTTGAAAATGTTTCTAAAATTGAAACATTAACTATGTATCAAGTCTGGAAAATCAAAAGTGCACCTGAAAAGATCCTCTTGGTGCATACAGGTGAAGAGTAAAAAAAAAAATAATAATAATAATTCACATATTTTATAATTTTGTTTATGTATTTAATTATTACATTTTAAAAATGTCTAAATTTTGTCATAAACAGTTCAGTTTTAAAAATTTCATATTTTTTTTTATTTACAATAAATACAAATAAGCAGGAAAAAATGGCAGATATTTTAAAATAAAAATAAATGTTTTAATTACCTTAAAAAATTCATTAAAATATTATTTAAGTAACATAGATAAATTTAATTTAATATTGTACATAATGAATTAATTGTTATTTGTATTCTCTCAATATTATTTTAATGTTGCTTGTTTTCATTGAACCAGATTTATTTACTTTCAGTTACATTATATGACATTTTTAAATATTCAGACGAAAACGAATTCTCGGTCTGGTGAACATATTTTGGAATTTGATCATTTGCCATCTATCATTAACCCAATTGAAGCAAAATTAGGTAGGAGAACTAATCAATTTGATTCAGTGTTTTCCCCAGAAAAAACCCTTAGGTGGTTGACCTGCAAAATTAGCTGGTTGCTACTGGGATGTCAGTTCACAGTTATATAATAAAGTTGAATTGCATAATAATCCATATTCTGGTTATCTTAAATACAATAAAATAAAAATAATTTTTATTTTATCGTATTTAGGTGATTGGTGATCAATCAACCAGCTAAAACTGACCTGGAGAGAAGACTACAATTATGAAATTATTATATGTAATCATTTCATATTATTATTATTATATATAAAATTTTTTCATGTCTGTATCATGCGAGAAGAGCTGAATAGATTCCTATGAAACTTTGTATGTATATTCAGAATAGTCTTGGGAAGGACAGACTACTTTCCATTCCCAAAATCACTTGATTTTATAAGCTTTGATAGAATTATGAAATTGTTTGCTAGAGTCAACAGTTTACATCTGGTTCTTATCAAGTTTTTTGCATGAATAGGAAGTTATGTCCAGAATCTGGTGGGTGTGAAATAAACCATAAAATTTGATACAATGGGCAAAAGAAAAATAAAAATGAGGTAGATATTGAAGAGAATATTTACTAAAAAGTTATTTCAAAGATGTAAAAGATTGAATACTACTACTGAAAGACTAAAGAATGAGAAAAAAATAATAAATTTATGAAATAAAATATAAATAATATATTTAATTTACAATTTGTTATTTTTATTTTATATGTAAATACACATTTTATTATTATTTGCTTTCATAATTATATTTTCAGGATCTCATGTTTCAGTTAATCCATCTTTAAACTTTGTCATTTACATACCATCTCAAGCTCAATCTCCTCTTCAAATATATGATGAAAAAGGTAATTAAAAAGATTTTAGTATTGTAAATTTTGAATATGATAATTACTTGAATGTTGAGTGATGTGCAGTTTTGATTTTATATTTATTTAGATATTTTTTAATATATATTTTTATTTTCTGAAGAATCTGTATAATTAATCATATTGATTTCTGTAAAAGTGAAAAAAAATCATTGCTTAATTTATAAATTAAAAATGTTGAAAATGGCATAAACAAAATGTAATTAAATTACTTGTATTATAAGCAGACAAATTGGTAACTGCAATTTAGAGATTATCTCATTCCCCATTATCTGACATCACTATTAATACTGCACATGCTTAACTTCTTTCTTGTTATCAATCGCATTTAACTTTAAAATGTAACTAATTATGAAAAACAGATTCAATAAATAAACTGCTAAATTAGGAAACCAATATTTGTTTCAAAAGTAATATTTTTGATCCCATTTGGTCCATCATCAGCTCTTCATACAGAAAGAACAAATTATAATTGATAGTTAATTTTAGATTAACTTAAATCCAAAATTTACATTTAAAATTTATATAAAACAAAATAATAAAAATAATAAAAAAAATTATAGTTTAAGTTTTATATGACAAGTTGATGATGAACCAACCGAGTCTGAAAACATTGCTACTTAAATGAAATTATTGGTTTCCTCAATTTAGTAGTTTCTTTATTGAATTTTGAACATGGTATCAAGTTTCAAACAATTATTTGAAAAACAGATCCACCCAACACTTCACTGTATGTATGTCTTTTGAAACTTAGCGTAAAGTTGCTATTGAGAACAAATCATACAGGAAAACTCCTTTTGATGGAAAAACTAAGATTTATTTTCTATAATTTCGAATGGATATGCGTTTCGGGCTCTACGTCCCTCTTCAGTCCTTATTTTATTATGTATATCAGTAAAAACTAAAAATAATTATAGTGACAGCTGAAATAACTAATTATTAAAACTGTGTGGTAAAATAAGTAAAACTGTAGAAAAAATTATTTTTGTTAAAACGTATAAAAAATTTGGCTAATTAAGGTAGTAAAAACAAGGTGTAAAAGCTCAAATAGCAACTTTATGCAAAGTTCTGAAGGATGTAGAACTAATTCGAGAGAACAGTAAGCTATCAAGTACATATCACTGTATGTTTTTAAACTTTTGCAAGAATTCAATATCTCCAAAAACATGATTATTGGATTTCTATCAATAGTACAAAAATGTCTATTACATAGACACTATTACATTTTGCCATATTAATTAAAAAAATTTATAACAATGCGACAAAAATGTTTAACTTATCTTATTTCAAATATTTACTAAATAAGTTTCTGTTTATACCTATGCAAAAATTTAATTTAATGATATTTATTTGTTTACTATAGCAGTCATTAAATTCAAAATTATAATGAATTATAACTGAATATTTTCTTTCTTAATGAGTTGTCACAGACTTAGTAAAGTGATTGATATGTTGGAAATATTGCCTGATAAAGCAACTTTACTACATCTGGATAAACAGGTCAATGATGTAGCCTGTTTCAAATGAAATGAGCTATTGTTATATTGGTTAGCCAGCTGTATTAAAGCCACTTTTCTTATATCAGTGTTGCATTTCCTGGTAAACATATTTATTTATTTTTAATGTATTTACATTTCTTTCACATTATACAAGTCATACATATCAAAGAATAAGTTTGTTTAAATTATTTTGAAACTTGTAATTTCCTGTTCTGTTATTACACTGTATGTTCTCTGACAAGTTGTTGTTATCAGTAAAAGTAAAATATCATTTTCTCAGAAACAATAGGCTTTCATTTTGAAGCAATGTTTAACTACTTGGTCCTATACTTATGTTGTAGACAGGTGACTTCAAACGTGATAGATTTTGGCTTGTATTGTTGAAAGGGGAAGCCATTTTCAGTAGGATAAAGGCCATTCTGTGGGTGAAAATAGGATTACGGTCTAGTTTATAGTAGTATATGTAACAAATTTCAAAAGTTAGTCTCTCAAATATCATTTACTGCATAGTTTTAATATTTGTATATCTTAAATATAAAACTGCACATGGACTTTTTGACAATTCTATATTTAGTTCAACACAACATTTAGGATATCTTCAACAGTAAAACAATATTTTAAGTTTGAAATTTTAAAACAAATTTTTTTTAATATATATATATATAGGATCTCAGGTAGATACAAATGCATTTTTATCACCACGTTGGGGAGGATTTTTAATATATAATGTACCTCCATTAAAAGAAAATGCTACTCTTCCTAGAAGGATTGACATTGATATGAAAAAAGTGATGGAAGTATTTATATCACAGCTACGATTGTTACTTGGGCTTCCTAATCCTGTAAGTTTAATTTTGGTTATCTTTTTGTTTTTATTTTAGAAATTTTAATACAAATGGATTCAAAAAAAGTTTAAATAAGAATATTTCATAAATTACGATTATTGATGGTTTTTTATTGTTTTGATATATAACAACATTAAAAAGTAAAACCTAATCCACTCTTCCATTGCTCACAAGGTCAAACATTTTACAAGAATTTTATGTAAATCCTTTCAGATAGTCATTGCAAAGTTGTTTGATATTTGTTATTTCATTTCCTAATGACTTAACAAGAAAGGTAGACATTAAATTTTTGACCAGTTGAAAAATTATGTAGATACGCAGTTAAGTCAACTACTTGTAAATAATTATTTACAAATGATTCATTGCATGGTAGATTGTCATTGCGAGGTGTATTATTTCGGCTTTATACATCACATTATATTGGATTAACTGTAATAAATGACCTTCATTCTTTCTTTTATTTATGTATGAATAAAATATATATAAATAATACGAATAAGATATTAATTTTATTCATGTTATTTTAAAATTAACATTATAAGACAGAATATATTATATAACAATTGAATTTGAAACTGTAAGATTTTAATTTCAGTTTTAAATTTACATGAATTTAATTATAATGATAATTTCTATATAGTTTAACTACAAATTAATTTTTATCAAAATTGATTCCACAACATCCCTTTGGAATCAAAATTGATACATAATAAAAGTAGGGATAGGCTGCATTGAAAGCAGACATATGAGAGATGATCAGAAAATAAGAATACAAGACTTGCAAATTCTGGAAAACATTTACTATGAGTTTAAATATATGTGCATTAGATTAAAATGGCAATTAATTAACGCCCGCCTGTTTTTAATTATGATGTAATTAAGCATAAAAAATACTTAAAACTGAAAAAAACACTAAAGAAATGCCTTAATTTTGAAGAAAAAGCTTCAAATTTTATTTTCCTTTGTCTCGCCTTTCTGTGAAATTTAACATCTATGAGTCATTGTTTACACACCTGGATGACCTTGAACACAGCTGGAGTCCGATTTTCCGGGGCATTCTCATATACGTCTTGGGAGGACAAGGGTTTAAAGTAGGGTGAATATGAGCAACACGTATATTTTTAAATATTTTTAAAAAATTAAGAGTTTAATTGCGATTTCCGACCCCCCAATTAATTAAATTAATATATAAAAAAATCGATTAATTAAAAAAATTAAAAAACTATCGGAGGTGGTTTTTGACATCAGAAAGTAGCTTTAAATAACTTTACCGAAGGAAAATCCGTGCGCTACAACTTATGAACCATGAAATAAATTTGATAAAAAACTCCCATTAAAAAACAATTAAGCCTTAATCGAGCCTTTGATAAGGCTCATTAAAATCGCGATAAAATTTTTTCGCGCGGACAAAAAATTTTGAAAAAATTTGGGGACCTAAAAAACATTCCAAAAATTGAAAAAAAATTTTTGTCAAAAGTGGCCTTAACTACTGAATCTTACGTAACGCTATGTAACCTTGACGAGTTATCTCATCAATCGGCGTTAATTAAATATAGCCTTTACCTGAAAAATAAGTTTAAAATTTTCAAATTTCCTTCTAAGTATCTCTAGGAAAGAGTCAAAAATGAAAAACAAAATATCCCTAATTTAAAATAATTTTATATTAATTTATAACTGAATGATTAAAACTTTGAAAATGTTTCTAAAATTGAAAAATTAACTATGAAACTTTAAAAGACATGTCTAATGCACTACTCATTGAGCATAGTCTCCCAGTTGAAGCATTTATCCCAGTACTACACAAGCTTAAAAGGTGACTCTTATAAAATTGCTATACAGTCGATCCCCTATAAGACGGTAGATACGTTCTGTTCTTTATGAATCAATTTTGTAGGAATCACAGCCTGACACGTGTGAAGTTTACAGACTACGGCTGTTTGAAAGGTTTTCTTCCATAAAATTAATCGATTCTAGATTAATCCGACTCAACATTTCCAAAATACATATATTTTTTTTGGAAATAATCTGTATAAAGTAAGCTATAAACAAAAAATTGTAGGATTACTTACAGAGTGTGCACCATTTGACATCGCTGTTGCTCAAGTTTGTTTTCGTCTCGGAACAGCGCACCAAACCGCAGCCGCAATTTCTGATGTTATTTTTCAGCGAAAACTTCGCTGAACTTTGGAGACATCGTTAATATAAATAATTTTAATTGCCATTGAATAAGAAATGTTTCTTTCACAAGAAATGTATAAAATTACAGTGCTGTATTAGACTTACGGTACCTAATTTACATACTGTACAGACGATAGCTCGCCTAAACTGTCCGTAGCATGATGCTAGACGGCGGAAAGTATATATATAATTATAATAAAGTTACAATAAATTAAGTTAATATATAATTATATGTACAGACGATACTAAACTCAATTTACCCGCCTAAACTGTCCGTAGCGTGGCGCTGGACGGCAGAAAGTAGTTCGGCTGCCCGATGACGTTTTACGTAATTACAGGAATTTTTTTACCGTTGTTTATGGATACCACCACAATTTTTTCGCCGTCTTATAGGAATCATAATTATAGGAACCCGTCTTATAGGGGGATCTACTGTACTTGTTGCCATACCTGTACTCATCTGTGCAGCTCTTTATCGATGTAAACTATAAATCCAGAGTCCACTGAGATGGTAATCATTCTGAGGTTCTGCATGATAATACTATCTTGTGCACAACTTGTTTTACAGCAGAGAGGTTTTGAGTGGGATGTTCTCCAGTATTCGTCTTACAAACTAAACTTTTCTCATAATGTTTACCATATCTTTGCTCTTCTGAAGAAACATCTTGATGGACTCCAGTTTCACACCAATAAAGAGGTGTAGCAGAACATATAGACTCTCAGGCTCACAATTTTATGAGACATGCAAATTTAAGCCTGGCAGTGCTGGGACAAATATATTAACTGGGGTAAGAGACTATGTTAAGAAGTGTATTAGATATCTTTCAAGATCTTTGAATTCTGATAGTAAATGTTTTTCAAAATTTAGAAGTCTTGTATTTGTATTTTCTGATAATTTTGCATATTAGCTCAAGCAGATACATGTTAATTTTCATTTGAAGCATGATATAATGCAAGAAGGTAATCTTGCATTTCTAGCCACTGCAATTAAAAATAAAGTTCTTTAATGAGATTAGTTTGCATCTATTACAAGTTTCATTCTAATATGAAAAATTTTAATTATTGTTGAAGGTAGTAAACATTATTTTCATAGCTCATAAATTAGAGATTAGTCTGTGATTAGTGTTTGTGAATTTTTTAATGTGATCTATGTGTATTATATATTTAATATGATTGGTTTGTAACATATTCAGATGAAATAACTGAAGAATAAATTAATTTCAGTATTTAACTTTAATTTACAGGTTAAGGATGATAAAATTAGAGTTATTCAAAGTTCTGTTTGTACAGATTGGGTAAATATTAAAATTTTAATAAAGTTATGCTATATTCATTTTTCTTGTTTAGTAAAACAGACAATCAAGTTTAAAGAATTTGATATAATTGATTATTTATAATATAAAGTAGCAATCATTAAACTGCATATTTTTTAAAATCTGAATAATGAAAAAATATGCATAATAATACTAGTAACTTATACAGTAAAATATGTTTAGTGTAATCAGATATTATCATCATTAGCATGTTCTGAAACAAGTTGAAATACACACAAAACTTAGCTACACAGTAATTAAAATTCTGATAATAAGTAATTATTCAGGTTCAGGTTGATTTAAAATTGTTTTTATTTGAATATTGAGTTAAAAAAAATTGATAAACACAAAGAGGTTGGATGGTTACATCAGTAAAAGTATCGGCTACTGCTCCACGCTCGAGTAATTCCAGCTTTACAAATTTTCATGGTTGATTTAATCTGTATACATTGAATTTCATCCTACAACAGCCATGATAATTTAATTCCATTAAAATATAATGGGTGGTTTAAAAATATGATGATGATGGTTTAGGGATAGTTATAATTTGTAAACTGTAATTTTATATTTTTGTTATAACAATTTTTATATTCGTATAAATATAGTTGTTTAGTAGAATTTTTTAAACGTATAAAATATTAATTATTATTAAGATATTTTATTTATAACTTTACTAAATTAGGAAGTGGATTTTTTAATAAGAAGAAGAACTCAAGAACAACTTTCAGTAGCCATCTCTTCTCTTTATTCTCTTGGACAACTTCTGGGTACCATCAGCAATATTGTGATAAGAGATGATGTTGGAAACAAGGCATGTTTCTTATTTTTATAGTCAATAATTTGTTATTAATCTTTCATTTTCATAATTATTGGATTCAAAAATAAATCTTAGTTTTAATTGTGAAAGAAACTTCAGAGATTTCATTTAAGAAAGATATAATTTTTACATAACTCTTAGTTGTGAATGATTTTTTATTATACATAGAAATTGAGTCAAACGAAAAAATCCTGAATAAATACAGCCATTCATACAGCTAATGCTACCATTTTATACACTAAGTCTTTAAAGTCATGTTTTAAATGTAAGAGTAATAAGTTATGGTATACATATATAAGCTCAATGATTACAGGATTAAATCAGGCTTTATTAGTAGTGGTAATATAACCTGATTTAATCCAGCAATCATTTAGCTTTGAGTTATGGTATTTGTAAATGAAATACAGCTATCCCTTGATTAACACGGTTAATCAATCCCTCGGTGCTACCGTGTATATTAAAATCGTGTTAATCAAATACAGTGGTACCTCAGTAGTCGACCAAACAATTGTCACCTGCTAGAACAAATTTTTGGTTAATAACAAATATTTTTATTTTAATAAACAAAAATAGCAAATCACTAACACATTATTTGCTTAGAAAAACATATCTATGTTAAGCAAAGACAGCTGTTAAAGCTGCATTAATGAAAACTGCCATGTATAAAAAGAGATAGCCTCAATTAATTTTGTGCATTAATGACAGAACATTAAAACTATTTTAGGATATCTAGCAACAAATATAATCCTAATTTCTTTTTTGGTATTTCATACAATATTTTGAAAAGGGCAAGTGATTTACAGCTTGTCCTGTTTATTATGATATATATTCATACCAAATCATAAAACAATTTTATAGCAACTATACACAGAATGGCTTTGTCATTACTGAATCCTCATTTATATATTTTTTTAATACCCTAAACCCTAATTGATACTTGAGACTTTCTATCAAGCAGTTTGTTACATATTGTGGAATCCATTATTTATAAATTGTTTCATATTTTTAGGTATATGCATCAGTTGATTTTATAAAAGATAGTTTGATATCATTAAAGGATGGTAGATTGGAACAAAGTTACCTTCAAGCAAAACATGCTTTTATGTTATCAGGTAATTGTGTTTTATTAAATTACCATATAAAATATTGTAAAATAAAAATATTTTTTCTTTAGAGGTAATGAGAAAGTAATGCAATACATTGTTTCGTATGTACAGATGTACATGTATACATTTCTATTTTGCTTGCTATAGTTTCAACTGTCTCACATTTATGCACTGTAAAAAGTGTTTATGAGCAGCCTGTAAACAAAGAATATTAATTAAGATTCCTTGTCTATGAAATTGTGACAAAGAGACTTCTATAAATTTGTGTACTGGATAAGTTGTCACAAAAATTCAACAAATATCATGCCACTTCTACTTTACAGCTTGAGTCTTGCTTTGACTATTGTCTTTTCATCATTTGAGAGATGCATCCTCAAACTTCTAAATTGCATCTTTTACCATCTCTTTACTTTGGATATGATTTTGAATGGTTAAAACACAGTAGTAGTTCAATGTCGTATAGACTCTTGTATGGTGGTGGTGTGAGACTATAAATTTGAAAGAAACTTTTGGTAACCCAAGACTGAGATAACAATGTAATGTATTTGGAATTTAAAAAAATAAAATGTAAATGAAGAGAAATACTTGTTGCATTATTTTCAAAAATGAAAGATAAACATAATCATATAAATTAATATTTTATAGAGGAAGCCTTTTTCGATCCATCCCTTTTGGCATTGCTATATTTTCCTGATGATCAAAAGTAAGTCAGTCCAATACTTCTAAATTTTTTAATTTTAAAATTTATGTTATCATTTACAATTTAATATCTTGTATGGTTAGCCAGTTATTTCTGTGACTAAGGTATTCGAGATAATGCCTAGTAGGAAATCATTTGACAAGACCAATCACTGAACAAGTTTGTACCACTTGGCATATGTAACACATTTGTGTTGCTAAATGAATAATTTGAGGTTAATCATCCATGAAAAAAACAGAAATCAAAATCCACTGTATAAAACTATACAGTGGACTTTGATTTAGTATCAGTTCATTTGCCTATGAAATTAGCAATGAATCATATTGTATTTCAAACAATAAGAGAAGTGAGTTGGGGAAGTTATGCACATTTCAAAATTTATCATATTAACAAGTCACAGCACATTAAAACAACAAAATTAGGAAATAATTATCGTGTAAAGCAGTTTCAGATAAGTGAGTTTTAGGTTGAGTTATGACAATGGGAGTTAAGAATTTTATTACATTAGAAGCATTGTATAGTAAATAATCAAGCTTTTGTTACTACCAAGAGGCATAATTGATTCTGGGTGTATAAAATACTGCTTATTTGTCACCTGGTTAAAGCATTTTGTTAAACAAGGCACCAGGAAAGGCAGTTCTAATGTTAGATAGACTCTACTCATTACAAAAACTTCAAAGTTGCTGAGTTTTGCAACAAAATAACATTCTTATGATAAGCTTATACAGTCACATACAACACCTAGATTGTACGGTTTTCAGATCTCTGAAGTAATTTTGGTCAGTTCATAATCTAGAATTTGAGGAGAAAAATAAGCAAACTTATGTTTGGAAAAAGGCAGCTATCATGACATCGGCTGTAAATGAATGTACATCCATTAAACAGAGATATGACTCTTGATTATGCTTGTGCACCTTTGTAATATTATTGCATGCAATTTTTCCTCTTCTCTTTCAAGAAAACTCACAAGATTCTGACAGGCAAAAAAGTTGTCATTTCAGTTATTAGAGTTGGTAACTGCAAGTGATGATCATAATGACAAGTACAGAGAAAATCCTTGTTAATTCAAATTCAGGGATGAAATATTTGCAATTTTAAATTATTTGAGGTTTACATATTTCTGTACAATACACCAAATGCCACATAACTGATGTAATTTATTAAGCAAACAGAATACAGCTACTTATACAGAATACTATTTTTGTTAATTAATTAATTAATAATAATAATATGCTGTTTACCTGCAGTTTATTTATATGNCATGTTTCAGTTAATCCATCTTTAAACTTTGTCATTTACATACCATCTCAAGCTCAATCTCCTCTTCAAATATATGATGAAAAAGGTAATTAAAAAGATTTTAGTATTGTAAATTTTGAATATGATAATTACTTGAATGTTGAGTGATGTGCAGTTTTGATTTTATATTTATTTAGATATTTTTTAATATATATTTTTATTTTCTGAAGAATCTGTATAATTAATCATATTGATTTCTGTAAAAGTGAAAAAAAATCATTGCTTAATTTATAAATTAAAAATGTTGAAAATGGCATAAACAAAATGTAATTAAATTACTTGTATTATAAGCAGACAAATTGGTAACTGCAATTTAGAGATTATCTCATTCCCCATTATCTGACATCACTATTAATACTGCACATGCTTAACTTCTTTCTTGTTATCAATCGCATTTAACTTTAAAATGTAACTAATTATGAAAAACAGATTCAATAAATAAACTGCTAAATTAGGAAACCAATATTTGTTTCAAAAGTAATATTTTTGATCCCATTTGGTCCATCATCAGCTCTTCATACAGAAAGAACAAATTATAATTGATAGTTAATTTTAGATTAACTTAAATCCAAAATTTACATTTAAAATTTATATAAAACAAAATAATAAAAATAATAAAAAAAATTATAGTTTAAGTTTTATATGACAAGTTGATGATGAACCAACCGAGTCTGAAAACATTGCTACTTAAATGAAATTATTGGTTTCCTCAATTTAGTAGTTTCTTTATTGAATTTTGAACATGGTATCAAGTTTCAAACAATTATTTGAAAAACAGATCCACCCAACACTTCACTGTATGTATGTCTTTTGAAACTTAGCGTAAAGTTGCTATTGAGAACAAATCATACAGGAAAACTCCTTTTGATGGAAAAACTAAGATTTATTTTCTATAATTTCGAATGGATATGCGTTTCGGGCTCTACGTCCCTCTTCAGTCCTTATTTTATTATGTATATCAGTAAAAACTAAAAATAATTATAGTGACAGCTGAAATAACTAATTATTAAAACTGTGTGGTAAAATAAGTAAAACTGTAGAAAAAATTATTTTTGTTAAAACGTATAAAAAATTTGGCTAATTAAGGTAGTAAAAACAAGGTGTAAAAGCTCAAATAGCAACTTTATGCAAAGTTCTGAAGGATGTAGAACTAATTCGAGAGAACAGTAAGCTATCAAGTACATATCACTGTATGTTTTTAAACTTTTGCAAGAATTCAATATCTCCAAAAACATGATTATTGGATTTCTATCAATAGTACAAAAATGTCTATTACATAGACACTATTACATTTTGCCATATTAATTAAAAAAATTTATAACAATGCGACAAAAATGTTTAACTTATCTTATTTCAAATATTTACTAAATAAGTTTCTGTTTATACCTATGCAAAAATTTAATTTAATGATATTTATTTGTTTACTATAGCAGTCATTAAATTCAAAATTATAATGAATTATAACTGAATATTTTCTTTCTTAATGAGTTGTCACAGACTTAGTAAAGTGATTGATATGTTGGAAATATTGCCTGATAAAGCAACTTTACTACATCTGGATAAACAGGTCAATGATGTAGCCTGTTTCAAATGAAATGAGCTATTGTTATATTGGTTAGCCAGCTGTATTAAAGCCACTTTTCTTATATCAGTGTTGCATTTCCTGGTAAACATATTTATTTATTTTTAATGTATTTACATTTCTTTCACATTATACAAGTCATACATATCAAAGAATAAGTTTGTTTAAATTATTTTGAAACTTGTAATTTCCTGTTCTGTTATTACACTGTATGTTCTCTGACAAGTTGTTGTTATCAGTAAAAGTAAAATATCATTTTCTCAGAAACAATAGGCTTTCATTTTGAAGCAATGTTTAACTACTTGGTCCTATACTTATGTTGTAGACAGGTGACTTCAAACGTGATAGATTTTGGCTTGTATTGTTGAAAGGGGAAGCCATTTTCAGTAGGATAAAGGCCATTCTGTGGGTGAAAATAGGATTACGGTCTAGTTTATAGTAGTATATGTAACAAATTTCAAAAGTTAGTCTCTCAAATATCATTTACTGCATAGTTTTAATATTTGTATATCTTAAATATAAAACTGCACATGGACTTTTTGACAATTCTATATTTAGTTCAACACAACATTTAGGATATCTTCAACAGTAAAACAATATTTTAAGTTTGAAATTTTAAAACAAATTTTTTTTAATATATATATATATAGGATCTCAGGTAGATACAAATGCATTTTTATCACCACGTTGGGGAGGATTTTTAATATATAATGTACCTCCATTAAAAGAAAATGCTACTCTTCCTAGAAGGATTGACATTGATATGAAAAAAGTGATGGAAGTATTTATATCACAGCTACGATTGTTACTTGGGCTTCCTAATCCTGTAAGTTTAATTTTGGTTATCTTTTTGTTTTTATTTTAGAAATTTTAATACAAATGGATTCAAAAAAAGTTTAAATAAGAATATTTCATAAATTACGATTATTGATGGTTTTTTATTGTTTTGATATATAACAACATTAAAAAGTAAAACCTAATCCACTCTTCCATTGCTCACAAGGTCAAACATTTTACAAGAATTTTATGTAAATCCTTTCAGATAGTCATTGCAAAGTTGTTTGATATTTGTTATTTCATTTCCTAATGACTTAACAAGAAAGGTAGACATTAAATTTTTGACCAGTTGAAAAATTATGTAGATACGCAGTTAAGTCAACTACTTGTAAATAATTATTTACAAATGATTCATTGCATGGTAGATTGTCATTGCGAGGTGTATTATTTCGGCTTTATACATCACATTATATTGGATTAACTGTAATAAATGACCTTCATTCTTTCTTTTATTTATGTATGAATAAAATATATATAAATAATACGAATAAGATATTAATTTTATTCATGTTATTTTAAAATTAACATTATAAGACAGAATATATTATATAACAATTGAATTTGAAACTGTAAGATTTTAATTTCAGTTTTAAATTTACATGAATTTAATTATAATGATAATTTCTATATAGTTTAACTACAAATTAATTTTTATCAAAATTGATTCCACAACATCCCTTTGGAATCAAAATTGATACATAATAAAAGTAGGGATAGGCTGCATTGAAAGCAGACATATGAGAGATGATCAGAAAATAAGAATACAAGACTTGCAAATTCTGGAAAACATTTACTATGAGTTTAAATATATGTGCATTAGATTAAAATGGCAATTAATTAACGCCCGCCTGTTTTTAATTATGATGTAATTAAGCATAAAAAATACTTAAAACTGAAAAAAACACTAAAGAAATGCCTTAATTTTGAAGAAAAAGCTTCAAATTTTATTTTCCTTTGTCTCGCCTTTCTGTGAAATTTAACATCTATGAGTCATTGTTTACACACCTGGATGACCTTGAACACAGCTGGAGTCCGATTTTCCGGGGCATTCTCATATACGTCTTGGGAGGACAAGGGTTTAAAGTAGGGTGAATATGAGCAACACGTATATTTTTAAATATTTTTAAAAAATTAAGAGTTTAATTGCGATTTCCGACCCCCCAATTAATTAAATTAATATATAAAAAAATCGATTAATTAAAAAAATTAAAAAACTATCGGAGGTGGTTTTTGACATCAGAAAGTAGCTTTAAATAACTTTACCGAAGGAAAATCCGTGCGCTACAACTTATGAACCATGAAATAAATTTGATAAAAAACTCCCATTAAAAAACAATTAAGCCTTAATCGAGCCTTTGATAAGGCTCATTAAAATCGCGATAAAATTTTTTCGCGCGGACAAAAAATTTTGAAAAAATTTGGGGACCTAAAAAACATTCCAAAAATTGAAAAAAAATTTTTGTCAAAAGTGGCCTTAACTACTGAATCTTACGTAACGCTATGTAACCTTGACGAGTTATCTCATCAATCGGCGTTAATTAAATATAGCCTTTACCTGAAAAATAAGTTTAAAATTTTCAAATTTCCTTCTAAGTATCTCTAGGAAAGAGTCAAAAATGAAAAACAAAATATCCCTAATTTAAAATAATTTTATATTAATTTATAACTGAATGATTAAAACTTTGAAAATGTTTCTAAAATTGAAAAATTAACTATGAAACTTTAAAAGACATGTCTAATGCACTACTCATTGAGCATAGTCTCCCAGTTGAAGCATTTATCCCAGTACTACACAAGCTTAAAAGGTGACTCTTATAAAATTGCTATACAGTCGATCCCCTATAAGACGGTAGATACGTTCTGTTCTTTATGAATCAATTTTGTAGGAATCACAGCCTGACACGTGTGAAGTTTACAGACTACGGCTGTTTGAAAGGTTTTCTTCCATAAAATTAATCGATTCTAGATTAATCCGACTCAACATTTCCAAAATACATATATTTTTTTTGGAAATAATCTGTATAAAGTAAGCTATAAACAAAAAATTGTAGGATTACTTACAGAGTGTGCACCATTTGACATCGCTGTTGCTCAAGTTTGTTTTCGTCTCGGAACAGCGCACCAAACCGCAGCCGCAATTTCTGATGTTATTTTTCAGCGAAAACTTCGCTGAACTTTGGAGACATCGTTAATATAAATAATTTTAATTGCCATTGAATAAGAAATGTTTCTTTCACAAGAAATGTATAAAATTACAGTGCTGTATTAGACTTACGGTACCTAATTTACATACTGTACAGACGATAGCTCGCCTAAACTGTCCGTAGCGTGGCGCTGGACGGCAGAAAGTAGTTCGGCTGCCCGATGACGTTTTACGTAATTACAGGAATTTTTTTACCGTTGTTTATGGATACCACCACAATTTTTTCGCCGTCTTATAGGAATCATAATTATAGGAACCCGTCTTATAGGGGGATCTACTGTACTTGTTGCCATACCTGTACTCATCTGTGCAGCTCTTTATCGATGTAAACTATAAATCCAGAGTCCACTGAGATGGTAATCATTCTGAGGTTCTGCATGATAATACTATCTTGTGCACAACTTGTTTTACAGCAGAGAGGTTTTGAGTGGGATGTTCTCCAGTATTCGTCTTACAAACTAAACTTTTCTCATAATGTTTACCATATCTTTGCTCTTCTGAAGAAACATCTTGATGGACTCCAGTTTCACACCAATAAAGAGGTGTAGCAGAACATATAGACTCTCAGGCTCACAATTTTATGAGACATGCAAATTTAAGCCTGGCAGTGCTGGGACAAATATATTAACTGGGGTAAGAGACTATGTTAAGAAGTGTATTAGATATCTTTCAAGATCTTTGAATTCTGATAGTAAATGTTTTTCAAAATTTAGAAGTCTTGTATTTGTATTTTCTGATAATTTTGCATATTAGCTCAAGCAGATACATGTTAATTTTCATTTGAAGCATGATATAATGCAAGAAGGTAATCTTGCATTTCTAGCCACTGCAATTAAAAATAAAGTTCTTTAATGAGATTAGTTTGCATCTATTACAAGTTTCATTCTAATATGAAAAATTTTAATTATTGTTGAAGGTAGTAAACATTATTTTCATAGCTCATAAATTAGAGATTAGTCTGTGATTAGTGTTTGTGAATTTTTTAATGTGATCTATGTGTATTATATATTTAATATGATTGGTTTGTAACATATTCAGATGAAATAACTGAAGAATAAATTAATTTCAGTATTTAACTTTAATTTACAGGTTAAGGATGATAAAATTAGAGTTATTCAAAGTTCTGTTTGTACAGATTGGGTAAATATTAAAATTTTAATAAAGTTATGCTATATTCATTTTTCTTGTTTAGTAAAACAGACAATCAAGTTTAAAGAATTTGATATAATTGATTATTTATAATATAAAGTAGCAATCATTAAACTGCATATTTTTTAAAATCTGAATAATGAAAAAATATGCATAATAATACTAGTAACTTATACAGTAAAATATGTTTAGTGTAATCAGATATTATCATCATTAGCATGTTCTGAAACAAGTTGAAATACACACAAAACTTAGCTACACAGTAATTAAAATTCTGATAATAAGTAATTATTCAGGTTCAGGTTGATTTAAAATTGTTTTTATTTGAATATTGAGTTAAAAAAAATTGATAAACACAAAGAGGTTGGATGGTTACATCAGTAAAAGTATCGGCTACTGCTCCACGCTCGAGTAATTCCAGCTTTACAAATTTTCATGGTTGATTTAATCTGTATACATTGAATTTCATCCTACAACAGCCATGATAATTTAATTCCATTAAAATATAATGGGTGGTTTAAAAATATGATGATGATGGTTTAGGGATAGTTATAATTTGTAAACTGTAATTTTATATTTTTGTTATAACAATTTTTATATTCGTATAAATATAGTTGTTTAGTAGAATTTTTTAAACGTATAAAATATTAATTATTATTAAGATATTTTATTTATAACTTTACTAAATTAGGAAGTGGATTTTTTAATAAGAAGAAGAACTCAAGAACAACTTTCAGTAGCCATCTCTTCTCTTTATTCTCTTGGACAACTTCTGGGTACCATCAGCAATATTGTGATAAGAGATGATGTTGGAAACAAGGCATGTTTCTTATTTTTATAGTCAATAATTTGTTATTAATCTTTCATTTTCATAATTATTGGATTCAAAAATAAATCTTAGTTTTAATTGTGAAAGAAACTTCAGAGATTTCATTTAAGAAAGATATAATTTTTACATAACTCTTAGTTGTGAATGATTTTTTATTATACATAGAAATTGAGTCAAACGAAAAAATCCTGAATAAATACAGCCATTCATACAGCTAATGCTACCATTTTATACACTAAGTCTTTAAAGTCATGTTTTAAATGTAAGAGTAATAAGTTATGGTATACATATATAAGCTCAATGATTACAGGATTAAATCAGGCTTTATTAGTAGTGGTAATATAACCTGATTTAATCCAGCAATCATTTAGCTTTGAGTTATGGTATTTGTAAATGAAATACAGCTATCCCTTGATTAACACGGTTAATCAATCCCTCGGTGCTACCGTGTATATTAAAATCGTGTTAATCAAATACAGTGGTACCTCGGTAGTCGACCAAACAATTGTCACCTGCTAGAACAAATTTTTGGTTAATAACAAATATTTTTATTTTAATAAACAAAAATAGCAAATCACTAACACATTATTTGCTTAGAAAAACATATCTATGTTAAGCAAAGACAGCTGTTAAAGCTGCATTAATGAAAACTGCCATGTATAAAAAGAGATAGCCTCAATTAATTTTGTGCATTAATGACAGAACATTAAAACTATTTTAGGATATCTAGCAACAAATATAATCCTAATTTCTTTTTTGGTATTTCATACAATATTTTGAAAAGGGCAAGTGATTTACAGCTTGTCCTGTTTATTATGATATATATTCATACCAAATCATAAAACAATTTTATAGCAACTATACACAGAATGGCTTTGTCATTACTGAATCCTCATTTATATATTTTTTTAATACCCTAAACCCTAATTGATACTTGAGACTTTCTATCAAGCAGTTTGTTACATATTGTGGAATCCATTATTTATAAATTGTTTCATATTTTTAGGTATATGCATCAGTTGATTTTATAAAAGATAGTTTGATATCATTAAAGGATGGTAGATTGGAACAAAGTTACCTTCAAGCAAAACATGCTTTTATGTTATCAGGTAATTGTGTTTTATTAAATTACCATATAAAATATTGTAAAATAAAAATATTTTTTCTTTAGAGGTAATGAGAAAGTAATGCAATACATTGTTTCGTATGTACAGATGTACATGTATACATTTCTATTTTGCTTGCTATAGTTTCAACTGTCTCACATTTATGCACTGTAAAAAGTGTTTATGAGCAGCCTGTAAACAAAGAATATTAATTAAGATTCCTTGTCTATGAAATTGTGACAAAGAGACTTCTATAAATTTGTGTACTGGATAAGTTGTCACAAAAATTCAACAAATATCATGCCACTTCTACTTTACAGCTTGAGTCTTGCTTTGACTATTGTCTTTTCATCATTTGAGAGATGCATCCTCAAACTTCTAAATTGCATCTTTTACCATCTCTTTACTTTGGATATGATTTTGAATGGTTAAAACACAGTAGTAGTTCAATGTCGTATAGACTCTTGTATGGTGGTGGTGTGAGACTATAAATTTGAAAGAAACTTTTGGTAACCCAAGACTGAGATAACAATGTAATGTATTTGGAATTTAAAAAAATAAAATGTAAATGAAGAGAAATACTTGTTGCATTATTTTCAAAAATGAAAGATAAACATAATCATATAAATTAATATTTTATAGAGGAAGCCTTTTTCGATCCATCCCTTTTGGCATTGCTATATTTTCCTGATGATCAAAAGTAAGTCAGTCCAATACTTCTAAATTTTTTAATTTTAAAATTTATGTTATCATTTACAATTTAATATCTTGTATGGTTAGCCAGTTATTTCTGTGACTAAGGTATTCGAGATAATGCCTAGTAGGAAATCATTTGACAAGACCAATCACTGAACAAGTTTGTACCACTTGGCATATGTAACACATTTGTGTTGCTAAATGAATAATTTGAGGTTAATCATCCATGAAAAAAACAGAAATCAAAATCCACTGTATAAAACTATACAGTGGACTTTGATTTAGTATCAGTTCATTTGCCTATGAAATTAGCAATGAATCATATTGTATTTCAAACAATAAGAGAAGTGAGTTGGGGAAGTTATGCACATTTCAAAATTTATCATATTAACAAGTCACAGCACATTAAAACAACAAAATTAGGAAATAATTATCGTGTAAAGCAGTTTCAGATAAGTGAGTTTTAGGTTGAGTTATGACAATGGGAGTTAAGAATTTTATTACATTAGAAGCATTGTATAGTAAATAATCAAGCTTTTGTTACTACCAAGAGGCATAATTGATTCTGGGTGTATAAAATACTGCTTATTTGTCACCTGGTTAAAGCATTTTGTTAAACAAGGCACCAGGAAAGGCAGTTCTAATGTTAGATAGACTCTACTCATTACAAAAACTTCAAAGTTGCTGAGTTTTGCAACAAAATAACATTCTTATGATAAGCTTATACAGTCACATACAACACCTAGATTGTACGGTTTTCAGATCTCTGAAGTAATTTTGGTCAGTTCATAATCTAGAATTTGAGGAGAAAAATAAGCAAACTTATGTTTGGAAAAAGGCAGCTATCATGACATCGGCTGTAAATGAATGTACATCCATTAAACAGAGATATGACTCTTGATTATGCTTGTGCACCTTTGTAATATTATTGCATGCAATTTTTCCTCTTCTCTTTCAAGAAAACTCACAAGATTCTGACAGGCAAAAAAGTTGTCATTTCAGTTATTAGAGTTGGTAACTGCAAGTGATGATCATAATGACAAGTACAGAGAAAATCCTTGTTAATTCAAATTCAGGGATGAAATATTTGCAATTTTAAATTATTTGAGGTTTACATATTTCTGTACAATACACCAAATGCCACATAACTGATGTAATTTATTAAGCAAACAGAATACAGCTACTTATACAGAATATTAATTAATAATAATAATATGCTGTTTACCTGCAGTTTATTTATATGTCCTCACAAGTTGTCAGGCAGAATTCATCAAAATGTAGCCTAAAGTCCTACAAATATCTCAATCTGTTACTCGTAATCCAATCCCAAAACCCAGCCGTATTTTATGAAATAAGAGAAAAAAAGGGGTAATCCGTACGTAAGGTGGCACCCGAAAATGTGTTAGTGTAAAAGCAAAGTCATAGAGTTATTCTTGGTCTATTGTTCTCTTATAGCATGCAGGCACTTTGATCTAAATGAACGAGTTAGCGTACACGTATCACAGTTCGGACAGAATTTTCACTTCAAATTACAAAGTAGCCATATTTCGAACTACCCGAATTCTTTATCATATAGATCCCTATATCCCCGACTAGAACAAAAGTACAGTTACAAACTAATGAAATTTTGAATTAACGAGGATTTCCTGTACTATGATTTTTCTCTAAGATGGAAGAACAGTCCAATTAAGAAATTATTATTATTCCATATATCCATTAAAATCATTATTAATGGTAAGGACATTAATTTCCAAGAAGACTACTGTGAGCCCGAGGGTTTTGAGGGTGTAAATTTTGGAGTTTAACATAGTTTTACATTAGAGGAAAAAAAATAATTTATTGCAAGTTATAACAGAAATAGATCAGATATCGAATTTTACATATCCACAAGGTAGGAAGGACGAAAGACCAGTCATCGTGCACGTGCTAATTAGTCAGCATAATGAGTGAATGACCTGTTGGCTCAGTGTCAACAGTTAAGGGCGATCGTCCCTCCGCGCGTTCATCAGGAAGGTCTGATTACCAGTGTCTCCCGTCCCGATCCTGTCCGAGGAGAAGCCGGTAGAAGACATAAGCCTGTGACAGACAGCCAGCTTCCATAGTCCAGGATGATTGTCACATACCGTCCTCCAACATAACTCTCTCACTCCAGTGCCTTTGTAAACTCTCTCACACGGCATAGTGAATAGTTAGATCGCTATCATAGATAGATTTGTGTTATCCACATTTAAGCATTAAGTCTGTAACGTTTTTACGTATACTTCTGTAAATTAACTTCAGTTATAGAATAAACCTTTATTTTGTTATTTGTTAAACCTGTCTCCTGTCTATCCGAGGAAACCTGTCGATTTATCGACACACTCCCCACTTGATTTGCCCTCCTAGCCATCCGAACGACTCCGAGATTGGGCTTTACCAGCCTGTGCAGATTAATTGGTCAGGACCAGATTAACCCCTGACCCACTGCTTATCTCACACTACTAAATCAAATATTTCCATTACCTCAATTTGAAGTAATTCAATAAAAGGAGTGAAAGACTAAGCTTGACTAAGATTTTAATATCACTTGATCACATCTCCTCAAAGTAATTGGAAGCAAAGCAAAAAACAGCTGACAGTTTGAAAACCTCACACGAACATACCAAGTTATGCAAAACAAAGGGAAAAGGGAAGAAAATCTGAAACATCAATTTCAACTAGGGGCACTCAGGCATTGCAATGAATTCTGTGGTGTTTTCCAGCTTTTGTACTATCTATGATCAAAGAAATCACATTCTTTAAAATGAATGGGTTTCAATAAAGCTAAATATAGTGCAAACTGAATAAACACTGAATTTTGTATAAAACAAAAATTACTGCATTTTTTCTCCCAAAAACAGTCTAGCATATACAAGTGCCCCCAACTCACTATTTACAAGTTGTTTTACACCCATGTAACTGATGAACACTGATAGCTGCAGTTACGAATGTATAATTATAGTAAAGCGACCATGCGACCATGCACTAAGAGACTGCTTGCAGCGTCCTCACAGTAAAATACAGAAATTAGCACTCCCGTTTCAAACGATGCACAACGTGGATAAAATGTTAATTAGAAAGTTGTAGAGCACGACCGATTTAGTACGAAGAGTATAATAGAGAGCATAAAATATTAACTTGTCGGTATTTAATTCCCATCAATGCTACGTCATTAATCGTGTCGCAAAGCAGAGAAACGGGGACAGAATAGTAAATACACTTCTTTATCCAGGACAGAGCTTGTTGCTCATTAGAATAACTTGCCACATTTAAATCTAAAACAATTTGACTTCCCATGCTTTGTGACACAATTAGATTTAGCACTGACTGTTCTTTCCCATTTATATAGTTTTCTGTCACCAGTATTCATTGGCACTTTACAAGAGAGGTGCTATATTGAGGTATTTCTGTGTTTGGCGTAAAATCTTATACCTTCATTTAATGTCTTTATTGCAGATATGCCATCTATATTCCTCTGTTTCTTCCGGTGGGCATTCCGGTGCTGTTATCGCTGCGTTTCCTGCCTCGTTGCTTTGACAGAGAAGGAAAGACTCAGAAGAGGAAGAAGAACGATTGATGTAATTTATTTATTTTTCAGTTCAAATAAATAATTTCGCATTATTTTTGTTACGACTATCGAGTCTCTCTCTCTATCAAAACGTGTAGGACAAGAGTGAAGAAATCCCAAAATATTTAGAAGCTGATTTGGACCGTGCATCCTTCGAAATAACACCAAGAAAAAAAACTATAAACTATCAAAGTAGGTTTTTCTTTTTTAAATCTGCTAAATTCCTGGCTTGATTCATTCAATATTTAATTTATTTTTGGACATTTGACTAATGCACAGTGTCTGAAAGTTGATACTGGTGATACTGTACCATTTAGATTTACACAAAGAAAAAAATTACAAATTTTGCTATATATATTTATTATGTATCCTGGCAATAGAAAATTACAATAAAAATAAATTATCGATTTAGGAACTATAGAATTTTGTTTGTTAAATTCTAAATTAATGAATTGAGGTTGTTAAGTTGGAGTTTATTATTATTATTATTAATATTGGTGGAGTGTGTCCTACTTGGCCTAGCACTGTGTTGGATGAGAGTCAGGGTTTAATACAGTAACAGCTTGCTCTGTACCTCTATGTGCTATTTGTGTATGTATGTATCTGTGGCTAAGAATTTCCTGACTGTATGATGTATTTAATATGGCTGCTTTCTGTAGTCCTAATGTTTCTAGACTTTTGTGTACTAATAGACTAATTTTTTGGTTTTTCACTTTTTTTTTTCCAGTGTATGTATTTTGTATGGCTATGAATATGAATATCAATTGTTTTGTCTGTGTTGTTTTCTATGACTGACTGAAGTGTGTATTTGCAGTACAATTTCTGGGTGTATAATAATTTGTGTATGTATGAAAGCTTTTGATGCATGTTTGTATAGTTTCATGCATAATGTGGCATTTCTTAAACTATTACCTGTGAGTGTTCTTTTAAAATGTGCTTCCTGTATCTTCTTAGAAGGGTTTGTGATTGCCATACATCTCTTTAAAGAAATACAAACAAGACAGCCAGCAGTTTAACACAGTTCTGTCATTGTGACTTTGTCTGCAGAAATTACAGCTTGGGTAATTGTAATGTTTCTTGTTTTCTATAAACTCAGTGTCTGTATTTTTCTTTGAGATTTAAAATATCTGCAAAGCATTATCCACCCATTTTATGAGGAAGAGTCAACCTTTCATTTTTCAAATACACTTCATCCATTGTATGGTTTTCCAGTCTCAGTGGTCAGTGGGTGTATTGCTGCTGAAACACTTTAACTAAGTGTATAAGTGATGTTACATCACATGTTCAGGACAGTGCTGTTTTCATTGGTATAGTAATGCATTCTAAAGTACTAAATAGTTATTCAAAGCAATTTATATATTGTGTTCATCTAAGATCATCTCTAATTTGTTTTAATAAACAGTTAAAAATACTTGAATTTTACATTATTAGGCATTTTTAATAAGAAAAAATTTCCTGTAAATATATTCCATAATATTTTAACAATCACACTTTTGTTGTATACTTTTTTGATTTTGTATTCCTGACTGTTTCATCAAACAATTCAGGTATGTACAAATTACACATTATTGAATGTAAATGACTTAATTTATTACAGTAGAATTCACTTACTGTAATTACTTTTTGGGACTTAATATCTAGATTGTAAATAATCATTACATAATTCATCTGGTATTGTTTGTCAGCTATGACCTTTAACAAGATCTAGGGTGTAATTGAAGATATGCCAGTATTTTGAGTATATAACCAGTGTTTTAAGCATTTAATTGTTGTCACATTATCAACCTTATATTAGTTGTGGCTGATGATGTGAAAAGATTAAGTAGGCATTTTTAAAATAGTCATGTTTTGGGACTTGCTAATTCTGATAACAATAAATATGAGAAATTCTGGCATATCATGGGCTAATTCTTTATTTGAAATAAAGAATTAGCTAACTCCAAATTCCTATCACAAGAAAGTTAAAAAGTCTTCTTACTGCCCAAAGATGGAAAGAATTATAAAAACCCTAATTTTAATGATTGAAATGCTAAAAATAGAGATGTTCTGTCTGTAAAAACATTAAGTATTTTTAACAAATGACAACTTTTCATAAATAAAAATCCCCTTAAATTAAAATGGTTTCTTTCTAAAACCATTTAAATAAAATATAACGGCATAAAGCAAACCAATCATTCGTCGATCGAATCCTCTGTACCACTTATGGATAATTGTCTCAGCACTAGCTTCTTGTACATTCCGTCCATATCCAACAACTGTTTGTGCGTCCCCATTTCCACTATCTTTCCCTGATCGATTACCAAAACGGCATCTGCATTCTTGACGGTAGACAACCGATGGGCGATGACCAACACTGACCTTCCTTTCATTGCTCTCTCGATTGCTTCTTGCACCAGGTGCTCACTTTCTGCATCCAGAGCGCTCGTTGCCTGAAATGTCGTAATTCATTTATTCAAATTTTTGTTAATTTTGGAGCCGTCGTACTTACTTCGTCCAGTAGGAGCACTTTGGGGTCGGTAAGGAGAGCACGAGCGATGGCCACGCGCTGTTTCTGTCCTCCGGACAATCTGACTCCCCTCTCGCCCACGAGGGTCTCGTATCCCTGTTCGAAAGTTTCGACGAATTCGTGAGCATTGGCCTCTTTTGCTATAGCTTTAACCTGGAAAACAGTATTTACTTCATGATAATGATTTGTATCAGGTTGTAAAGTTAAATTTCATTTAACTTTACAACCTGATACAAATCATTATCATGAAGTATGTTGATGAGTTATGTTTGTAAAGTTAAATTTCATTTAACTTTACAAACATAACTCATCATCTTTTTCTGCATTATTAGCCCTTTGATATTTGCAACAGCTGGCTGACCTTTATTTACCCACAAACACTTTAACAAATGCTTTGCAGATGAGAATGTGAGCGTTTGTTGCATTGTGGACACTTTTGAAGTGCTAGAACAATGGCATGTGAATGTGTTCTTTTGAAAGTTTCATACTGTCAGACATTGCTAGTGGGTCTACAGTATTTCCAATGAAATATGTGATGAAATAGCTTTTGGTTACACATCAAGCATTCTAGAATATTTTTTTCCAGTTGTTTCTAGAAAAAAATTTAAATCTGTATCAGATTGTAAAAGATGATGAGCTATGTTTGTTTGGTATCATCATAATGGAGCTACTTCCAACCGACACTACTGTCAAGAAAGAATTTCTCTAAACAACTGGATTGTTTGAACGTAAAGATCAAAAACTGTCAATTTTTGGACAAAAAGTCCAACATGCCAGCATAGAAATGGCCAGTCAGGCTGGGAGGTTCCACCTCATCTATCTGACAATCTAAACTTGATGCCAACCTACTCCCATCTATTTTGCACCCTGCAGAACAATGTTGCCAATACTTGACACTCAAGACTTTCTTCAAAGAAAAACCAACTTGTTCTACGTTCACAGATTTGAAAGTTTGCAGCAAAGATGGTGAGATGTGATTGATATTGATGGTGATTATCTACAAGACTATAAACTGTAGTTGTGGTTGAGTTTATTGACAATAAAGTTTTTTTTCAAAATGTCTAAATTTCATCTTTTCAACTTGATAAATGTAAAATTGACTACAGTAAATTCTTGATTTAATGGACTAATTTGGGTGAAGGTTGTCCATTAAAGCCAGAAGTCCATTATACAGGGTGTCCTTACAGTCTGGACACAGGAAATCTCATTAACTATAGTTTTTCCCTTTACAGATTAAGTATGGCTTTTTTGAAAGAAGAAAGAATTGAACTAGTACCTCTTGGTGGACATGAAGGACGGTCATATCGTTCACATCCACAGTGGTCTCCTCGTTCACTTGACCTTAGCCCCCTCAACTTCTTTTTCTGAAAATGATGGAAATTATCTTGAAGACGTTATTTAATATTCTAATTGAATAAAATGTTATTAAATTTCATTTCTTGAAAATATATATTTTTGCCCGTGCGTCCAGACTTTAGAGACACCCTGTATAATAAAGGTTTTCCGAATGCATGTGTTAAACAAACTAATTTGCCAATTTTTTGTGTGTAGCTATGTTTGTATGATTAAAATTATATACAAGAAGTTTAATTTCACAGAAAAGTTTTCTATATGTATTATTGCATATATACTTACTGTAGTTCTGAGATTGTAATAAACAGGTATGCAATCTAAGTGGAAATAATAACCTATTAATTTAATTACATATAGGTGAAAATTAACACCCTGTTAATTTTAAAATGAGTTTTATGACATGTGGACTGGAAATTTTATCTGTTAAATCTGTGTTTTACTGTATATTACATTTACTGATGTGTAAGAAAATCACTTGTGTTTTTTTACAAACTTTAACTGTTCCCTTATGCTTCTCTTTCTAATCAAGTTAAAGCCAATATGACAGTTAAGTTCTAAACATTACAAATCTGAGTAAGAACACCCAAGCAAATAGTTTGGTTCACAAATTTGAAAAATTATGCCTTTGACATTCGTAATTAAAGGAAAAAAATTATTTCTTTTTTTACTTGCCTTGGAGCGAGTAAAAGAAAGTAATAGAAAGGCCCTCTTAGTGCTCCTGTGGGCACTAAGAGGGCCTTTTTAGGAAGCCCATAATGGGCAGCCAGATGTCGAGGGACGGGGCTCGATATATCCGGATGGATCATCCCTTCGAAAAATTCCTGGGGTTTTCACCGTCCAGATTTGTTCCCGGATATCCCAGAGCAGTAAGTTGCCGCCTTAATCACTTGGCCATCCGGCCATCTAAGGAAAAAAACAATTCTTACCTCTTCGAGCGAGGCATCTCTTCCGTAACATATATTTTCGTAAATGGAACAAGCGAAAAGGACCGGTTCCTGTTCCACTCTAGCAATCTGTTGTCTCAAGTTGATCGGGTCCAGTTCTCTGATGTCTTCGTCGTCTGTTAATGTAACCAAATATTAGTACAAATATCACTAATCACTTTCAAATAAATACTCATTTTGGCTGCAAAGTGAATAAGAATTTTGTCTAATATTCAAAAAGATTCTTAAAAACTTGATTAAGCAGGTGCTCATTTCATTAAAATGAATGTTATAAACTTAGTACAGTACATTATACTGTAAAATGGTTAACTGACTTTTAGACAGCTATGCATACTATGTATTTTTACATGTGGAAAGAATTTATTATCTCAGAATAAATTTAGATTTGGAGTTTTATTTTTTTAAAATTATAATTAAAAATTTTTTTATTAGTGAAATATTGTAATAAACATGCAGATTTCACGTTTTAAAAATTATGTCATCCGTCTTGGCGATAGCACTCTTCCACTCTAACCTTCATATTTCCAATGACCTGCTGAAAAGATTTCACTGGGATACTGTTTCTTTTGTCTGTCGAGTATTGCTCAGGGAGTCTATGTACACTTTGCTCTTGAGGTAATCACACAAGAAATAGTCAATAGGGATAAGATCGGGTGACCTTGGGGCCAGGATGTGTCACTGAACTTTGAGATAACTTCTTGAACAGTGCTCATTGACACTCTTGCTCTGTCTTACAGGCAGGATGCCGATGAAGCTTCAGTATGAAAAAATTCTTATAATTTTAGAATAAATGTTCTGTTGACACTAAGTGGGGGGACCCTGGCCATCCTCAAAGAAATATGGACGGCCAGGGTCCCCCCACCATCCATATTCCTGTCCTGGATATTGCACATCAAACCATCACTTTAAGATTGTGTAACGTCTCTGATGATTGGTTTTAGGGCTTCGTTGAGACGATAACGACTGTTTTATTTCTGTTTAGGTAGAAGTGGGCCTCATTATTCCAAAAAACATTGCTTAAACCATTATTGAAAACAAAATCTTTCTGCATTTTCTTGCAGTAAGATTTGTTTTTATCAAAATCTCCATTATTTTGATTCTGAATCCATTACTTCCTGCATGATTTGGACTTCATATGGATGTAAGTATAGGTTTAACTTCATAATCTGATGAACCAAGGATGGATGCCAAGAGCAGCTACAGTACTTGTTTGTGCACAGAGCACATCAGTTTATACAGAATAGCTGCCAACACATCCAAATTTTCATCACTTGAAGTCTTCCTTCAACCTGGTTTTTGAGTATTTAGTCCCAAGGATGTTACCCTAAACCTTTTCACTTATGAATGCACCAAGTGATGCACCAAGTGGATAAGATTGACACTTGGTGCATCACTTAAATGACAGATATTTAACCAAGCACAAAACCAGTATAGCAACTACAGCAGAGCGTCAATTATCCGAATCAATTGGAGACCGGGGTTGTTCGGAAGATCGATGTTTCAGATAACCGATTATGTACGAAAAAATATATTAATTTATCCCATCTTGACATTTTTCTCCGTTGCGTGTCGCTTCGCGTTGAATTTTCGTCAATGTTAAGCCTAACGAAGACTATTGTATCGTTAAAAATTATTTTTTTATTTTGTACAAACAAAATAAATATGTTGAAAAATATAAAAACAATAAAAAAATTATACTTCAGAAGTTAATTTAGTATCAAAAACGTAAAATATTTGAGTAGCCGAAGACATAGCCAAAGATTGCAGCGCCACAGCACTGGCAAAAATTTAAATTTGCTGACTGGAATTCTTTCGGATGATTGACTTTCGGATAATCTACGCTCTACTGTATGTAAGAATTGTTGGCTTTGAAAAGACCTCTATAATGAGTGCATGATGCTCAGATGACTACTTTGACATTGTGACTAACAAATTAGCATCTTTTCTCTACCGAATGCACTTGTTGCCCTCTAATGGTGCCCAGTGGTTGACATTTTATTTGTTTTCAAAATTGTAAATTTATTCTGAGATATCCTGTATATTATTCAGCAAATGTAAATATGAATTTCTCTCTTTTGAGATATTTAAAACTAGGTTTACAGTTATAAATTATAATACAGTTATAAATACAGATTGGAAATGGAAAGAATGTAATTAAAGAACTTAAACTCTAAAAAATTCTATTTAGAAAATTTGAAACTGAACAAATCTTACCAAAGAGAACTGCTCCGGAATCGGGATCGTAAAATCTTTCGATCAAAGTGGCAATGGTCGATTTTCCTCCTCCTGAAGGACCCACCAAAGCGATTACTTTGTCAGGAATTAGAGTCAACGATATACCCTTTAGTAAAAATTATTTACTATTGTTATTTTCTTGACATGGACATATTCTGCTTTAAATTAAAGTTAAGACACAAACTTACATTTAAAACAGGGCATTCGGGTCTACTCGGGTAAGTAAAATAAACATCTTTTAGTTCAACTTCTATAAATATTTATTGATATAGACATTTATTTTAATATGGATAACTTAAATTTACATAAAACTTTTAAAAGATGCCATACTTCCTTCGGGAGAGATTAACATCCGCCCTCCTTTCACGGGGATGATCGGTCGACGATCTAATAACTCAAATATTCGGAAAGATGCACCCACCGCCTTTAAAATAAACTTTGTCAATTCTATTGTTTCCCATTCCCAAGTAAGATATTTTTAACTACAAACAAGTCGTATAAGTGATCATCATCAGAGTGACATACACGTAGAACATCAGAAACTAAGATATACATATCTTTTCTATGGTGGGAAAATGTTAGAGGCTATATGTATATTTATTTATGAGGATCATTCAAAAATAAATGCAATACATTTTTTTCTCAGCCAATTATTGTTGGAAAAATTCTATATTTTGGATAAAGGCTATTGCACATGAAAGTGCAATATCTTTCAACCTGTCAGGTTGCCTGTGGTAATCATCTTTCTCCATTGTATGCAGCATTACAGTTAGTTTTCGAGACAGGCTTGAAAACTAACTGTAGCATTGAATGAAGTGCATTCTGAACAGAGGTGTGATTGAATTTCTCTGGTGAAAAATGAGACAGTCACAAAAATTTACGAGTGCTTAAAGAATGTGTATGAAAACATGGCAGTGGATAAAAACACTGAATCATTGGGCGACTGTCGTTGTCAGAAGAAGGTAAAGGCAATCTGTCTGATTTCCTGCACTCTGGCTAACTATACATGTGTAGACATTCTTATTTGGGATGATCGGCATAACAAGAGAACTTGCTATTCAATTTGATGTTGCTGTCAGTAGTGTCAACATAACTGTCTACAGTTTACAGTATTCAAAGATTTGTGCCCACTGGGTCCCTCGAAGCCTAATGGATGACCATAAAGGGTAAAGAAGGATCATCTGTGCAGAGTTGCTTGCTCAATACAAGTCTGATGGTGGTGATTTTTTTTATCAACCATTGTTACTGGATATGAAACACAAAACAGTCATAATGTTGAGCCTGAGACAAAAAAAGACGATCCATAGACTAGCATCACACAACTTCTCAGAAAAAAGTTCAAGACAGTACCCTCAGCTGACAAGGCATGATTACAGTCCTCTGGGGACTCTGGAGGGGATATTCTTATTGACTTACTCACTAAAAGTAAAGCAATCAACTCAGAAGCCTGTTAAGATTTTTGGGAAGCTGAAGAAACAATTCTAATGTGTTCATTGCCACTAAGATTTGGACAAAATTCTCCATAACAACACAAGGCCACACACACGTCTGCACACCCAAGTGGGAATCACAGAACTTTGGTTAACTGAACTCCCTCACCCATCCTATAGCCTTAATACTTATATCTCTTTGGACCACAGGAAGAGTTACAGCTTACAGCAACAACCAGGAAGTTATTGATAAAGTGAGAAACTGGCTGAAACACAGACAAGTAGAATGACACTGTGAAGGCTCTCACATTTAGGTGGCATAATGTTTAGACTCGGAGATTATGTAACAAAATAGGTTTTCGTACCCAAAGAATTGGGGAACAGGTTGATGTATTTAAAACTAGAATAAAACTAACCTGCTCCAAGAAAAATAACATGTTACATTTACTTACTGAATGGCTCATGAATGTTGTAAAATTAAGCAAGTTTAAGCATTTTTGCCTATTTGTCAAAAAACCTCAAGAGTGACAATGTCTTCCACACTGTAAGACATGTAGTCATGTCAAAGTGATTCTTTACACAACTATATCAATAAAGATTAACAGTTGAATCACATATACAACAACCACTGCTCCATCCCCTAAAATGTTTTATTGCTGATAATAGAAAAACAAATATATATATCTTGCTTAATTTTTGATATTCTACAACACAAATAAAATCAGTAAAATCAGAGAAGGATACTCAAGTGATGCTCCTTGTTAGTCTTAGTTTCAAAAACAATTCAATGACTTCAAATAAAACCTATACAGTCGACCCCCCCTATAAGATATAGATACGTTCCAATTTATTAGGAATCTGATTTCTTACAAGTCGTTCCAATCACAGCCCGACACGTGTCAAGTTTACAGACTACGGCTGATTGAAAGGTTTTCTTCCATAAAATTAATCGATTCTACACTAATCCGACTCAACATTTCCAAAATATGTATATTTTTTCGTAGTTTTATAGGAATCGTAATTATAGGGACCGTAATTATAGGGGGGTCGACTGTACTACTTTCAGCTATATGGGTTAACTCAACCACTGGACACTCATCTCCCAATGGCATCTAAAAAGCATCAAGTTGCCAACAGTGACAGAGCCTGGTTTTGAGTGAAGGAGAGTAAAGGAAGTAAATAGATGCTGAGCAGAACAAAATTTATGATAGGAGGGGCATTTGTTCCTGCAGCTTCTTAGCTGTGCTGCTGCTCAACAACTCACAGAATTTTCTAGATGAAACAGAGTTAGCATGTATCTATGGTAGGAAACTATAATTTTTTTGACCTGATGGGTAATTCTATGCATACTGGAACCACAATCTGAGTGTTGTCTTATCTTCTCAATCTGAGTATTGAGAAGATAAGACAACACTCCTTAATGATATATTCTGTATTTTTATTAAATAAAACAAGAAATGAAAAAATTATCTTATTTTTTTTTATCTTCTTGTGTTTATAACATTTTTAATTAGATAAAAATAACTTAATTTAAAAATTAATGTTATTTTACAATAGTTACAGACAAATTATAAAGGAAAATACCTGCATGAAATCTCCAAACAGTGAAGATATTACTCCAAATGCCATTCCAATTTGTAGTCCATAAATAAGAAAGGCTGAAATAATAACAATAACCAAATATAATAGTAAAAATATTATTTCAGATTAAATTTACATATAAAGCATCTGTATTTAGAATAATAATATAAAATTAAAAATTTTTCTACTGTTAGATGTTAGATTCTATACTTAAATAGTAATAAGTAGTTAATGGTGACTAAAATTAGAATTATATGTATGTTAATAGTAGTATAGTTAGATACATTTTGGATTACAAATTTCTATGGCAAAATATAATGTACGATACAAGATAGATTACACTTAAAATTTTTGTTTTGGTTTTGGAATAATGCTTGATACAATATTTGATTTACAATTGGGGACAGTAGAACCATACTGATCCTTTATTACAGATTTTCACATGGATGCATGGGAGAAAATGTAAATACTAAATGAGGTGATGGTTAAGAAACAAAATTTACCAAGGTAGCTTGTGTATAAGGGGCATTGATGGAGTTAAATTTTAGCGGTTAAAGGTCAAGCCAAGTTGGAGATAGAGGGGGTCGTATGTCGTATCTCGTATGGGATGGAAGTTAATGAAAATTTTACTTGTTATTGGCGTTTAAAGCAGGGGTTTCCAACCTTTTTGTTTCTCTGGGTCACATTGGAAAAAGTCGTGGAGTTTTGGGCCACAAGCATAATATATATACTTGTGGCCCGAGTATATTTTGGCCCAATCCTTAAATCTACAAGTATATTTAAGGATTAACATGTCTAGATTATAATAATAAGCATTAAAACTTTATTACGAATAAAAATATTTTAAAAAATTACTTCTATAGACACTTTCAATTTTTACTTAAAAATAAATAAATTCACTTATTATAAAGGAGACAAACAAAAATTTATTTGAAAAACACAAATATTTGTTTTATTTGGGTCTCTAATTAATAAAAAACGACGAAACACCATTTTAAAGTGCATTCTTATTCGCCTAATATATTTATAAATAATATGTAGCCCAAAAAGTAGCCAATGCGTCAAATAATATTTTTTATGCCAAACTAAATAGAAGGGTAGCCAAATTTGGCACAAATTAGCCAAATCTTGCAACACTGGAAGGAGTACTAAATAAAGCTGGAGTTGGGACTCAAAGGATTATAGACCGAAAGCAAGGAAAGGAGAGAAAGGATACAAGAAAAAGAAGTGAGGAAAGTTGGAGAATTAATGGTCAATATTTGCATAACAGAAGGTATATTTAACCTTTCTCATTGCTTTTTATCTTTTAGCCTTTCTCCCCTTTCCCCAAATTTGAGTCTATACTCCTTTGAGTCACAACTTCAGCTTTATTTAATATACCTTCCTCATTCACACATTTCCAAGTATTTGAAAATATTTTCTTTCCACCCAAAATTAAAGNTCGCCTAATATATTTATAAATAATATGTAGCCCAAAAAGTAGCCAATGCGTCAAATAATATTTTTTATGCCAAACTAAATAGAAGGGTAGCCAAATTTGGCACAAATTAGCCAAATCTTGCAACACTGGAAGGAGTACTAAATAAAGCTGGAGTTGGGACTCAAAGGATTATAGACCGAAAGCAAGGAAAGGAGAGAAAGGATACAAGAAAAAGAAGTGAGGAAAGTTGGAGAATTAATGGTCAATATTTGCATAACAGAAGGTATATTTAACCTTTCTCATTGCTTTTTATCTTTTAGCCTTTCTCCCCTTTCCCCAAATTTGAGTCTATACTCCTTTGAGTCACAACTTCAGCTTTATTTAATATACCTTCCTCATTCACACATTTCCAAGTATTTGAAAATATTTTCTTTCCACCCAAAATTAAAATATGTATAAAAGTTTACGGCTTTGTGAAATGTCTTTTTTGAATTTGTGCCATTGAAATAAATAAATAAAATAAAAGAATCTGTTAGTTTTGTTTACACGTTTATTGGGCCACATGCGGCCCGCGGGTTGGACACCCCTGGTTTAAATAAAAAAAAATCTTGTAAAAATGTAAGAATAATTGTTTTTATGTGATAATAAAGTACAGTCGACCCCCCTATAAGACAGAGATACGTTCCATTCTCTAGGAATCCGATTTCTTATGGATCCTTCCAATCACAACCCGACACGTGTCAAGTTTACGGACTACAGCTGTTTGAAAGATTTTCTTCCATAAAATTAATCGATTCTAGACTAATCCGACTCAACATTTCCAAAATACGTATATATTTTTTGGGAATAATCCGTATAAACTACGCTATAAACAAAAAATTGTAGGATTACTTACCGAGTGTCACCATTCGACATTGCCATTGCTCAACATTGTTTTCGTCGCGGAACAGCTCAGCAAAGAGCAGCCGATTTCTAACAACTTATTTTTCTGTGAAAACTTCGTAGAACTTCAGAGACATCATTAATATAAATAATTTTAATCGCCATTGAATAAGAAATGTTTCTTTCACAAGAAATGTATAAAATTACAGTACTGTATTAGACTTACGGTACCTAATTTACATACTGACAGACGATAGTTAGCGTAAAAATCTCCGTAGCGTGGCGCCACGCTAGACGGCGGAAATTATATATTTAATTATAACAAAGTTACAATAAGTTAATATATAATTATATATACAGTACCTAATTTATATATAATTAATATATAATTATATGTACAGTACCTAATTTATATATAATTTATATAATACTGTCCAGACGATAGAAATCTCTCCGTAGCGTGGCGCTACGGACGGCGGGAAAGTAGTTCGGCTGCCTGATGACGTTTGAGGTGTTTATAGGGAACTTTTACTATTTTTTATGGATATCGGTAGCAATTTTTTTGTAGTTTTATAGGAATCGTAATTATAGGGACCGTAATTATAGGGGGGTCGACTGTATTTATATTTTGGCAACAGATTGTATCAACTACGTGGGAAGTATGTTCTCGTAAATATTTTGTATATAAAAAAATTATTGGGCTGCAATTTGAAAAAATTGTAGTCTATAAATTCTGTAATAAGCCTTCTATAAATAAGCCTGTATGACTGGCCTTCCATAATCTTGAAAACTGAGTTAGATAGATGAAAGTCGAGAATAGGATATGGAAATCTTAGGGGCAGGAAGCCCTGATTAACTATAGACGAATTTCCGACGCAAACCAAAAGTCATATTACTTCAATTTAAAAATCTCCCCTGAAAAGAGTTAGACAGGTAACTGGGATGATTCTATTGCTAACAGGAAAAGTATGATATATAGGGGCAAGACACTGCTAAAAGAATTGAGAACGTTGTGACAAAAAGTTGCAGCCTAGCATTGTGACAATGTCACAATAAATAATCACTCATCAGAATTAGTTTGGTTTATTTGGTTACAGCAATGTGACATGTGAGCAATCTGCCAAGAGGATGAATCCAGGGAAGAGTTTTATGGGAAGCTATATGCTATTTAGGTGTTACTAATGTTAAGAAAACTTGGAAAATTCCATGTGGTTGGCCCATTGGCCAACCCATGACTAACTAACGACTAGTGATCAGTGATTTTATCCACTTGGCTACTAGAAGGCACTTATTAGAATTAAGAAAATACTTATCAGAAATAAAAAACCCGAGTTGTTACATATGGAAAATTAAGTACTGACAGTACAGGTAGACTATTTACAAACTTTTACAGGCTTAAACAGCTTAAATTTTTTCAATCTGCTGGAGGGTAGTATTACATATGAACTATATTTTTCATATAGGAGCACAGCCTGTAAAAATGTTCTTACAGGTTTATCCTTAAATTGTCAACTAGGACTTAATTTATTACTAGGACTTATTATACTGGATAACTGGTTTTGCAAGTTAAATAATCAAATCAGAAAAAACAGTCTTTTATTTATCACCTGAACACATACACGATATCTTTGTGTTTCAGACCTTTTGGCCCCTCATCAGCAGGTTTCTGACCAACATTCACTAAAAAATCAATTATAAAATTATTACAAATTTATATATATAACACACAAAATTCCCAACAATACAATAAACAACCTAAAACTTACAATATCATGGTTTATAAATACATCCTTGAATCCAACAATATTTAAGACAATAAATGATACTTATCCAATTCTATTCCTGCATTTAAAACAATAAAACCAATTTTATGCATCATTTATTGTCTTAAATATTGTTGGATTCAAGGATGTATTTATAAACCATGATATTGTAAGTTTTACATTGTTTATTTTTATTGTTGGGAATTTTATATTTTATGAGTAATATAAATTTGTAACAATTTTTTAATTGATTTTTTAAAGAATGTTGGTCGGAAACCTGCTGATGAAGGGCCAAAAGGTCTGAAACACAAAGACATCGTATATGTGTTCATATATATTTTCTCCCAGCGGTTCTAAATTATTTAAATTAATTAATTTATATATTATTATTAATGTTAATAAGAGATGGCACCTAACGCTTACTTCTAGAGCCAAATTGGTTACGTAATTAATTTAGTAATTAGCCTTAAAACTAGCCCGATAGATTTTCGGCATACGGTTGGTGTTTAGNAATTATTAATGTTAATAAGAGATGGCACCTAACGCTTACTTCTAGAGCCAAATTGGTTACGTAATTAATTTAGTAATTAGCCTTAAAACTAGCCCGATAGATTTTCGGCATACGGTTGGTGTTTAGCTATATTATATATCGGGTTTAGCGATGTTTGTATATGTGTTCAGGTGATAAATAAAAGACTGTTTTTTCTGATTTGATTATTTAACTTGCAAAACCAGTTATCCAGTATAATAAGTCCTATTAATAAATTAAGTCCTAGTTAACAATTTAAGCATAATTACATAAGTTAAGGACACAAAGGCATAAAAGATGTTCTTATAGGGTTTGTGTCATATTATTTTACTTGTATGTAAGAATATATGACACAAAGGAAAGGATTTATGGATATGTAGGACAAGAATAATTTAAACAATAGAATAAAATATAAATGTGAAAGATTGGGCATACTATGCATTTATGCACATCCTAGAAAACATCATACTATAGCTTGCCACAAGCCTAGTATTGCTACACATATCATCACTTTGAAAAGCACATTTATATACTATATTATATGAAAATATGATATATTTAAATAAAGATAAAAATTTCAATTCTTAATGATTAAAACAAGGTCATAAATAGAATGCATTACATGTAAGTACTCCAGGAGAAATTCCCACTGATTCACCCTTTGTATAGGAATAAAGAAGATGTCCACCATACCACATAGTTATTACTATTGCTCCATAAAAAAAGAATCCGACAACACCTTCAAAGCCACCTAAATTAAAACAAATTTAAATTTGCTTTGAATATCATGGTAATGATTTGTAAAAATAGGATTAATTATAATTCCATTTTTGGAAAACAAATTTTAAAATGAATAAGATCATTTAAAAAATAGAAAATAAATAAATTTGGCTCATAATAATGAGACACAGGAGCTTAATAAATTTTTAAAAAATTCATGCTTTATTCGATAATAGAATATTTTAACCATAATATTATCAATGTATAGATCTAGGTACTGTCGAGTAAGAATGTGACAGCTTTAAGACAATCGAAGATAATGTTACTTTCAACAAAACATTTTTGATTCTCATGTAGCCATCAGTTTTGATCAATGTTTATAGAACATTGAAATTTCAAACGTCTCTATCAAATGTTAATATATTAAAATTGAATAACAAAGTTTGAATAGTGTTCCAGAAATAGTTCTCTAAATATTGATGGCTGTGGGAAAGCCAAAAGCATTGGATGATAAAGTTATCTTCAGTGATGTTAAACAAGCAGTATTTCATTGTATCCTTTACAGCAATGTTTTCAGATAGTTTTTCTTTTTCCCCTTGATCATCACAGGGAAAAAGAAAAACTATCTGAAAACATTGCTGAAAACAAGTTCAGCCAGACTACAGTGGGGGCAGCTAAATGGTAAGGGATGAATAACATGCACAAATTTTTTTCAAATTTAACTCACAATTTGTTAACTATTTGTTTGACTTTAGAAAAAGAATCTTTAAGTGAAAAAAACAAACTCTCATATTATTTTATGAATAATATTAAACCTTTAATGTCCAGCAAATAATTTAGAAGTGAACAATGTTTTCAACTACTTTCAACAACTGTTATCAGGTTACACAATTTGAATGTATAATTACCAAACGATCGCCTAAATATCGGACTATAATATGGCTAATTAAATTATTGGAATAAAGTAATTTGACATTAGAGGTAGGCAGGCGATGGTCTAGGGTCCATTCGTATCGTTAATTCCATAAGCCAGTAAAAACCGTAGACTTCTCTAAATGTATTTTTAATATCACAATTACATTCCGAATCGCTAGCCACAATATAAGGGCTACAATTAAAAATAAAATAATAAAAACTTACTCGGTGAAATAAAATGTGTGGTGGATGTACCGGTACATACCCGGTACAAAATATTCTTCAATTGTATGAACATACTTTTAAAGAAAATTATAATTAAATATAGCTTTGTAAAGAAACGTACATAAAAATATAAACTATTCTTTACTTTTTAAATCTTAAAACAATACACTTAGTCAAATAGCTCCCTACCAGTGGCTAATGAATGGAATCAGAGACAGTCATGGTAGGTGTGCAGTGCATGCATGCATGCAGGCTGCCAAATCCTGAGGGTACTGATACTGGTCAATGTGAAATGCCTCTTTTGTCCATCACTAGTATACCTCAAAGGATGCAACAGGTTGTAAATTTTAAACATTTCTCACCATAGCTATAAAAATCTAAATATGTTAAACTTAATAGATTATCTGTCATTTGTTTTCTAACTAATTCATTTTAGGACCAGGTGTCCATGGAAATTTCCAAAATTTACAACTTTTTGGTCATTCTCATTGAACTGGAAAAATTTCTGTCTTTATTACATCTAATATTATGAAGAAATCAGTCCCCGCTGTACTTGGCTAGAGATTGATTTAGTTAAGCTTTTAGGTAAAATTCCGGCTCTTTCAGCAGGGCTTTATTTAGGTCCCTAATTCCCTAATCTCTTAATTATTTAACTACTTAAGTAGAAATAAGTTGAAACCGGTTACTTTGTACTTGAATATTTGTAGTCTTAGGAAAGAAGTGGAAAGACAAATTTTTATGACAATAATACATAAATCGTAAATTTAAGGAAAATAAATTCTAGAGCTTTTTTTGTACCTTATGCATCTCATTCATTAAATTTACTTGTAAATGATGCTGCCAAAGTAACAATTAATTTTTTAACATTGTACAAAAATTTTACACTTTTTTCCCTGCATCCCGTTATAGATGGGACATATGAAATCGTAATATCACTGGTTTAACATTGAAATCCGTAAGTAATATAAAATCGGAGAGCAGAATAAATATATCAAATATTTTAATAGATTTTTTAAACTCCCGTCAACTATACGGAACTATCGTAAAAACGTACTGGTAAATTCTTATTGGTTGGGTTAAGTTATAAATCTACTCGTTATTCACATCATCGGGTGAGGGCAGCCAAATATCTAGCAGGCAGGTGGATAGCCCAGAAATGGTTACTGGATAGAATCATTGTAAGCATTATACGAGGCGTGTTTTTAAAGTAAGTACCGTTTTGAAATATAAAAAAAACAAGCAAACATTTTTAACAAAATTTTTATTTATGTGAAAGCCCATATTTTACACTACTTTTCTACATAATTCCCATTAATATTGAGACACTTATCGTATCGTGGGACCAGCTTTTGTATTCCATCCTCAAAGAATGTTGCCGCCTGATGAGACAACCAGTGCAGAACGGTCGTTTTGACTTCGTCGTGATTGTTATGGCGCTGTCCTGCCAGTTGCTTCTTCAAATGCAGAAACAAATGATAGTCACTCGGCGCTAGGTCGGGACTGTATGGAGGGTGGTCTAATTGTTCCCAGCCAAATGATGTGATTAGGTCTTGAGTTTGATTTGCCGTATGTGGACGAGCATTATCGTGGAGCAAAACGACACCCTTGCTCAGTAAGCCCCGCC